TACGATTTACAAAAGAGAGTATAAGTAAAAGTGAATAGAACTGAGAATATGAAAAAAGTACAATTTCTCGGGAAATTTAGAAATTTCTTTCCAAGTGCATTGCGCTTTATCAATGCGGATTATGAGCACTTGAATTCAAAAGTCAAGTTGTAATTGAAGTTGAAAATGATGAATTACCATCGAAACCGGAAGTTGAACTTAAAATCCTTGCTTAATTAGAAAGTACACTTTAATTCAATTCGTAATGAGAATGCTCGGGAAATAATAGAAATTTGATACGTTCCATAAAAAAAAACTAGCCTCGCACTCGGCTGCGTAACACTCATTTACTATCTCTCTCCTCAATATCATCTTCTTCTTCCATACGATGGGCTAGAGCGGCCAAGCACGTGACGTAGCCAATCCCATTGTCCTTATCACGTCAAGACTCAACAGATCATTCGGTTAAAATGTTAATTCGTCCCGTGTCGTTGCAGCACACGTTTCTCAAGCGAGAGAGCGAACGAGCGCAGCACACGCGCGTTTTGTACACTGCTCTTTTATCTTCATATAGTACAAGCCGATGAAAGGACCAAGTGGAGGAAAAAAAAAAACCGAGAGAATGAGAGAGAGGAGAGAAACATACGCAAACCAGCGGACGAAAGAAGAAGGATGAAGAATGAGAATGATAATGAGGACGAGAGAGAGAGAGAGAGAGAGAAGGAGAGAGAGCGAACAAGCCTATGCGCGCATACTCACGGCATCAGCAGCGGGCAACAGTAGAAGAAACGATTTGAGAGAACGAGAGAGAGAGAGAGAGAGAAAGAAAAACGAATCCTTTATCAATTCTTGTTTTAAACCCTTCTATATATATATTCTTCCACTATACTTGGGCATTCTGTACCCTCTCCCCAACATCATCCTCTGCCTGCCTCTACCCTCACTTATATAGCTCATTGTTCTGTTGGGCTTTGCTCTCTCTCTCTTTCTCTCTCGTTTGCTTCTGTTGCTGCTGCTGCGCTCTGACAGTATATAGAGAAAAAGAAGCTGGTTCGCGCACACAAACAGCATGGACACACGCACATACATATAAGATGCATGGAGAATAAGAGCGCACAAGCAGAAAAAAATTTTTGTCGAATTTCCGGTCTCAGCATCTCACTCGTGCTGTGCTGCTGCTGTTGTACAAGAAACCGCACGCACGTGAATTCACGGTAATGTGCCTACATTATGTATCGAGCCAAGATAAAGAGAGTTAAGTAAGGGACGTGTGAATGGGCTCGAGCGAGTGAGATCAAGAAAAAATGAAATAAAATTATTCTTTTCCTCTCTTTTCATTTGCATTGATAACGATGACGCGCACTTTTTTTGGATTCTCCGTCCGCTGTGTATTATAGTGTAATGTAGCTATTGGGATGCGAGCTCGCGTGCGTAGGTGTTGAATTTCTATTTCGTGGAATAGAAGATTGACCACGTGTAAGGAATAAAAAAGTAAAGTGTTTTAAGCTTAACAAGTGTTAAAGACAATTCGTCTGGTACCGAAATTTGTCGTTACGTAAGGCAGCGTGTGATTAGAGAAAAAAAACTGGGTTTACAAAATTTTGAAGCAATTTTAATTGATTGCAGCATCAATTAGAAAATTTCTATATCAGATTTTGGAGGAATGCTAAGCCAAATAAAAATTTTTATGAGTTCCGAGAAATAAGACTCCACGATAGCCGGTATATGGCTTTATGATAATGATTGGTCATTTTCTGAATAAAAAGAGTACCTAAAACGTCCAGATGTTCATTTAAATTTCTTATGGTCCGAAAGTCGAAATAAATCTCAATGGAAATTTGGGCTGATACAAGAATAAGATATCAGTTTCTTTCTTTTCTCAAAAATACTGCATGGATTTATCGATACCATCTGATTCTAAATCAATATTAACAGCTGCTCCAGGATGATAAGCATTATAAAGTCTACGGAAAAGAGAAATCCAATTCCTCTCTTGTATCGAGAAAAAAAAATGAATTGAAATAAAAGGCGTCTTATCTGTGAAGCGACAGAGCCAAGTGTGTGTACAGACAAATTAAATATTATTACTCAACTGTCGAGCGCCACCGGACAGCAGCTTCCTCAAACAACGTTTCTTTATCTATTTCCGATAAAGTGCAATTAATTAGAACATTGATCATACATAATATGTAAACGTCAAGAGGAACAAAATATCCGAGCGATACCATCGGGTCATCGGGTGCCGAGATTCGCATACACACGTGTTGTCCGCGCGTAAATTCAACCGTGTAAACACGATCCGCGTGTAAATACAAGTGTTCTTCCTCTTTTTCCTCTCTCGCTCTCGAAAAAAAAAACAAAAAAAATAGAGGAACAAAAAATTAGCATTAATTCAGCGATTCCCATGCTAATAGTTTCGTTCGCGCGCGCGCGCCGACAAAATATATACACTCACACAGGCACGGGCACACAGACACAAGCAGCATACACGTGCTTCTCGCAGTCCGGAGTAAGAGAGAAGCAGTACGTGAGCACCTGAGCCCGGCTCGGCTCATCGCACTACATGTGTGAGGATGCGAGCGTGTGCGTACACACAACAAATCGTTTCGGTTTGACTTCTTACTAATATCGAATTCTCAATAGATTAAGCTATAGCTTTTTTATAAAAAATAAAAAGAAAAAGAAAAAAGAAAACAAAGAGTTGTCGCGCGCGCAGACGAGCAAACACACGGAGAGACCGATGCGCACACAAGACGCCCACGCGTACAGCCGCAAGTATAGAGAAGTGTGTTATCTTCGTAGCGTAAGCAAGTCTCGCACCTTACGATGCACGAAGCGGCGGCACGAGACACCAGCACCAACGGTAGCTGCTGTTGTGTGTGCGTGTGCTCTGACCCACAATTTGTAATCGTACAAATACGTAATTCTCTTATCTTGTGTAGCGGCACACACAGCCTTGAACCGGCCCGAGTATTATAAAGGCGAGGGAAGAAGAACGACGCGTAAAAAGAGGCTCGTCTTCTCATTGTTGATCGCGTCGTTGGTGTTTGTATACACGAGCGTAGCGCGAAAAAAAATGTCTTTCTTTGTTATCAGTGTCGATGCAAGGGAGAAAGAGGATATATAATGCAGAGAAAGAGCCGAAGCGAGACGTTATATCCACGCTCGTTTCAGCGCGGGGATCGAGAGCTTTGCACATCTGACCTACATAATGCAATTTATATATACCTACTGCGTGTGTATACCTATAATACGCGATCGCACTCGTATGTAGCTATATTGGGCTGCGATTATAACCTATAGCATTATTTCATTATATGCAAAATAGTCGCCGCTGATCGCGGTATATTTTTTAAATAATTGCGTAATGTTGAATAAAGCTTTGAATCTTGCGAAAGATAAGACGGCATTGCTTGTGCAGGAGCTGCTGTTGCTGCTGCTGCTACGATGCAGCAGGAAACACATAACCTGCAAAGCTGCCTGCGGATAGCGTGCACTGTGCACTTTATATTTTATAAGTGTTCAATAGCATTCATGAGAGTGTATTAATATACATTAGAAGTATCATGATCAGAAATGATAATTTGAAAAAAAATGTTCAATCTAACTAAGCTGAGAGGAATTCCTTTTTTTACTGGTCCAAGCAATTGACTATTTTTTAGTAATGAACAGTTGCCTTAATAGCTGCTAAGAATGAAGGTGCTAAAGTGCCCTATATTTTAAAGTATTTACTTTTCACCATTCTTAATTATTACAAATATAAAATTTATGAATGAGATATATCTAAAAAGCATTCATTCAAAAAGCAATTATTTTTTACACAAAGATGCATTATCTAGGTGATATTAGTAAAATTTAAAAGATTTTTGTAACTTTAAAACTTAAATTTGTTTGATCATTTGAAATAAGAATGTATCAATCTGATTATGTATAAGCTACAACTGATTTGACAACAATCATTTTGAAAACATTGACAGAGAATATTCATGATACTGTATTAATATGGAAACAAATTTTATCATCTAGTACACCTAAAAGTACTGGTATCTCTACTACAAATTAATGTGAAAATTATACAAATTTGACATTAATTCATCAACAAAGGATAGTAAGGTCATGACTACTATCCTGAAACATTAGACCAATCATTTTCAAATTTAAAACTGATATAACTCAAAAGATGCCTTTAAAATTCCTTTGATCTACTCTGATAATCTTTTCAGAATACTATAATGTTGTATTTTTATTGCAATTGCATTATTGACTGCTCATTTATACTATCTATTATTTTAAGTATATGTCAACATAGGTACTAAAGTTTTACTCAACTTAAATAATAAGACAAGTGCTAAAATACTTGAAAATATTCTTGATCAAATTTCTCATTAATTTGGCAAGCTCATGATTTTATTATGAAAAATTGCTAGAGTCATATAACATTGAAAAACAATACCCAGTATATAAATATCAATGAGTGCCTATAGATATAGTTGCTCAGCATACTACAGAAACTTCGAAGCCTGCCTCCATCTTATCTCCTGTGTCTCGTTTCGCGCGATAGAGGTATTACTCTCCCTTTGAATCATTGGCCTGCTGCTAATCGTGTATGTATGTGTGTGAACATCTTACTGTCCGTTTGTTCGCCCGTGTATACACAAATAACTGCGCGAAAAGTTCGGAGCGAAAGGAACGAAAAATCGTTATTTTTCAAATATCATCAAAATATTATCATTTAAATATAATCAAGTAAACATTGATTAAACGTTCTCGCGCCTTTTATAATATATAACATACACCAGCAGCAACAGGCATATCCTTGCCTTTCGTGTGTATAGTATAAAGCGTGCATGTGTATATGTGCCCCCTCTCAAACTCGTTTTATAGATATACAACTTTATAAGCGATGAGCCTATGCCTTATCTATAAATATTTTAGACGAAGCGTTCACGGGAAGATATTGTTAATTATAAAAATCAAAAAAGCAGTGAATAAAAAAGATAGCATTAATGAATCTTTCTTACCTGAAGCTTAAGAGTGTCGAGGATCGTTTCAATGTATTTTTGGCCTTTGACTTGTTCTTTGAACAGATTAACATTGTAGGCATAACTAGTTGATAGGCACAATCGGCAAACTTCGTGATATCTGGGCGGTAATAACATCTTTGCACTGTCCATTGGCGAACACATTTCTGTGAGCACACTTTGAAGCTTTATTTACGTGCAATATATATTGTATATATATTGCCTGTGTAGATTAAAATCTACACGAATCTTGTAAAAGCAAATAATTTTGATTTGGTTTTGCATGCACTGATAAGGCTACCTCGGGTACACGAGGAACAGCTGCAAACTAAAAAAAAAAAAACGAAAAAAACATCAATCACTTGATCTCGTTGCACTGGTTTTTTTTAATATATTAAAACTATTTTCTATCAACTATTCTTCTTCGTACGGGCCGTTATCATCAACAACAACAACAGCAGCAGCAACAGCAACAACAACAATAAGAACGAAACAGACAACGGCAACAACAACAACACTCAGAGCACTATGTGGCGGCGAAACTCTGGCGATCTTCTTCTCGGTCGAAGCGCGCGTGCACGTGCAGTTTTATAGTAGCGCACAACATCGATGATGCACCAGCAGCAGCACAACACGAGGGTGACGATAACGACTTTGAGCACCGCGACGACCACGACGACGAGCTGTTGTACATGGACGATCGCGTACGATGCGTATTGAATGATGATCGCCGCCAGACAACGCGACGTCCCGTATAAGCGATCGCAAAAGATTACGATGACAACGGCGGCGGCGGTGGGCAGCGACTATAACGTCGCTGTTATCGTCATAGCAAAAACAAGAAAAAAAATTTCACACGCAGAAAACTTGGCCTTCTCTCGCTCGTTGTTGTGTGTGCCTCGCTGTAGTATCGTATCGTGCGTATTGATGATGAAGATGGTGATGATGATGATGATGATGATGATGATGATGATCCGCCGCAGGAGAAGAAGATAAGACGAAGAGAATCCGATGCTTTATTTTTTTTTGTTCTTGATACTCTATCTCTTGTTATCACAGTGTTGCACAGCACACACGCACAATATCATACAATATCAGTATCGTGTGCGAATAGAACACAAGAGAGTTGTTGAAGAAAAAAAAAGAGGGGAGGGAGGAGCACGAGCAAAGATAAAGGAAATAGAGAAGGACGGACGGGGAAGAGGAGGAAAGAAAAGAAAAAAAGATACGAGCCGAGGATAATAAATAATCTTACGAGAAAACCGACGCAGACATGGAGATAGATATGATAGAAGGCGACAGGGGTATATGTACAGGCGCGTGCGTTTATATACACCAGGAGAGAGAAGAGAGAAAGAGAGAGAGACAGATAGAGAGACAGGCACGTTTTTAAAAGGTACGAAAAAATCCAGCAGTACCTCACCGTTCGACGTTGAATCAGACACTACTGCGAGAGACAGCGCGTATCTCTCTCGACTCGTCGTTGTCGGGCACACCGATGGAGCCAGCAGCGTAGCGGTGTGCGGCGCGCATGCCTCATGCGCGGCTTTGATTATGCGCATGTACGTGTGTGTGTGTGTGTGTGCGACGCCGAGCGGTGGGGAGAGAGTAGAGTACTATAGTATAGTACAGCAAGTATATCGTCCCTCTCGATAGCCAGGCAAAGATATATAGATATAAATTTTTCTCGTAAATTGCTGCTGCTGCTGCCGTGTTAAATTTTATATTTCACCAATAGCCGTTAACTGCCTCGCGAGCGCGCGCCAGTCAAAGATGCGTTTTTCGGAGAGCTAGAGCGCGATCATAATTTGAAGAATAGTAGAGATGCAAACAATTTTTAAGAATGATAAGTAGGGTAGTCAGACCAATCAATGACCGGGTACCGGTGAATGACCATTTTAGAAAATATCATATGAAAAACAATTAAAAATATATTTCTATGGACGTAATTCAATTTTTTAGTGAACGATGCATCTTGTTTTCTATGTTTGATCATAATTTAATAAGGAAAAACGATAATTATTGCACATCCAAAAGTGGTCATTTACTGGTCGAAAGCGGTCAATCACTGGTATAAGTACCCTATTTTGAATACGAAAATGAAGAATCGGATTTTAAAGATATATTTATTGCTACGATTATTAAATGAATAAAATAAAATAAAATAAATTATTGTTTCTTACATTGAGCTGCAGCGTTTGAATATTGTATCTGGATACACCGAACGATATTACAACAGTTGGAAAACGTACGTGTGCTCTCGCCGAAATGCAGTCGACTACTGTGAGGTGCACGGATTTCTGGACAAGTCGAACACGAATATAGGTTCGAAATCACCTTTAACACTTGATCATTCGACACTTTTCCAGTTACTTTCCCCTCCCAAAGAATTTCTCGTGTACATGCGTCGCGCGCATATAGGATTATTAAACGGGTGGCGATGACTTGCACACAACTTTAGAGTAATTGAGCTGTGGGCTCTTGCACTTACGATATGTGCCTGCGAGCATCTCTTTACATGAATTCGTGTATGAATGTATAAGTAGATATGTGATTTATTTACTTTTTTCTCTCAAATTCGATGAACCGTAAGTCCGATTTTTGATTATACCTGATGCGCTTGGCAGCAAGTATGATTTATGATGGTTAGATGGATTTGGTACGTGTGGCCGGCATGGAAGTAATCCGTTCAGCGCGCACACCATCGCAATCATTTTCATCATTAAATATAATTTTGAAGAACAATCGACTGATTCAAATCCATACATATGGACTTTTAAAAATGATGTAATATTTATTCCACAACGCAACGACGACGGGTACAGTGTATAAGGTAAGCTCAAGACGTTATTATCTACAACCCGAAGCTCTTTGCAGCTCTCGGACGAGGTCCGTTCCAGGTGTTAAGTCATCAGACACGCACACACAAGCACAGCACACGCACAAACTCGCCTTCCGAGAAATCAAAGTCACGTTTTTATTATTTTTTTTTTTATTTGGCGGATATGGATCGTTTCTCAGAGAGACTTTTTAACTCGTCAAATTTTCTGTTAAAAGATTGATGATTGCTCGAATCATTGCCTTGAGCGCGCGTATGTACATATACAGGCACCTGCACAAAGTGTGTGTATTACGTATTATAACTTTTTCTGTGCGATAATGGATGAACGAAAAGAAAAAGCTATAAACACTTTTTCTTATGCAAAGACGATGATGGCTGTTAAGTTTCGAGAAAACTTTTCCATCATCCAGATGCACCTATCTACATAATCATCGTCACGGGCGCGTGGGAGGCTGCGTATACGGCTGCTGCTGCTGTTATGCTGCGCGTCTATTCACGCAAAGTTTTTTCTCCCAAAGCGTCGAACGCACAGAAGCAGTGCGGCGAAGATAATGCGGCGGGGAGCTTTTTCACATAATCATCATCATCGTCGTCGTCTTATAGTCGAGCAAGGTGTACGTATGTGTGCGTATAAGCTCTAAATCTTTAAATAACTCGCTCCGAAAATAATCGCTCGCCGCGAGAGAGGAGATGATAATATTACAAATCGTCCGCCGAGCGGCTGCTGCTGTTAGTTGCCCGCCTGTGGGCTGCCTCTAATCTTGCATTATATGCGGCTCTGGCTGCGGCAGACTCTCGACGTCTTATGTATACTGTACACGCCGCCACGAGGGATGCACGGCGCGGACTCGAATGATAAGCGCGCGAGGCATGACTGACAAACATATACCTAAAAGACACGAACTACTCATGGACGCAACTACTTACGACATCTCGCGTCAAAATCATGTGGCTGAATTACGATCACGCGTACATGCGTTTTACTTATCTGATATCAAACTGACAACATTCTGATAGCTGGTGGAAAATTTTAGGGCATTGGTTTTTTTTTCTAAAAAACATTTGCTTTCGAGTATGCAGTTTTTAGCCTACACATATATAGGATGCGCGAATAAAGCTCAAGCAAAGATTTGAGTAATCATTCGTTTACTTTCCATGTATATCTCACCGATTCTCTCATTCAACGTATTATAACACTGCCTATGGGAAATAAGATTTTTCATGTATGACTAATGACCTGGAAAGTGTACACCCACGTAATAGCATTGGCACTGCACGCAAGCGACGACGGCGACGGCCGATCGACCGTTATGATATTATACACGTTGCGTCGTCGCATTATTTTTACGATTTTATAATATGCAATGATTCAGATATATGTATAGATTGGCTCGATTATACGACCGTGGCCGCTAGTGGGTTATGGAAATGCGATTCGAAATCAGCGCCTTTATTCAATGATTTTTCTCTTTTTATTTTTATGTATTACTATTGCGCGTTCATCTTCTCTGTCGGGTACAAATTATGCGATTTTATTGACCGGATTGTTTCGATGCCTGTGCGCCTTTTTATGATCTTTTGTTGGATAAGTAAGTGAAAGTTTTGGATGTACTTTTTTATTACTCACTTATTGAGAGCACTTACTCAGAAATTAGATTTATTGTATATGGCTAGACCAGCAACAGAATCTCCAATTAGGTAAACACCGTGATTGTGTCGATAATTGATTTCAGAGTTAATTATTCACCCATAATTTCACATGGATATCAATTAATTTCTCTATAGAAAATGATGACCATTCGGAGAAAATTCATACGTGATTTGACCTTCTATATTAGACGAGATCTCAGCGCTTTAGATAGATATTAATGCTCCGGAGTCTCCCTCGTTCTTCCGTTGCTGCGTGCATTGATTGTATACGTTGCTCGTAGCTGACTCGAACTTCTGTGAAAATGCAATTGTCTGATTTTTTTACACTCTTCCATTTAGACTGCTACGTTTATCTATGACAATATATCATAGTGTTCATTTAATTTCCAATAGACAAATAAAATTAGGAGTTTCATTATAACGAGTTAACGTTAAAAATATCGTGCCTTTTTCAAAAAAGTGTCTATTCACATTCATTGCTTGTACAGCATTAATACTAATTAATACTACTACTTTTTCAAACCAATTAAAATTTCATAATTTATCATTTAAAATTAAATCAATCAATTGAAATTTTATAACATATTGTTCTAAAATTAAGCATAAATTTTATGTTAACTAAAATGAAAAAATAGTAATTTAGAAAAAAAAATGTTCGTTCTTTGTTTATGGAAATTGTTCAGAAAGATTAAAAAAAAAGAGAAATGTATTCTATGTATTCTTACAATTGAAAAAAAAATTTTCAGTCAACATTTTTTTGACCATAACAATGATTGAAGACTTGCGTATCATATCCAAATGTATCTTCGAATAACTTTACTAACGTTCGAAATAGTTTACAAGTAATGATAGAATCTTGAGGCAAGTGTAACACAGAATAAGAAATAGCTTTTGACATGATATTCAGAGCTGCAATTTTATCAAAATTATCTTGTGCTTCAATCTTCATTATAAGTTCTTGATTCTTTTTCCAAGTACTCATTTCTTTTGTATTCAATGGAACATTATCAAGATTCTGTAAAATAAATCCTCATATTATTAAGAAAAAAAACTTTAATTTGGAATTTACTTTGCACTGTGATAAAATTTACTTTTGAATTTAGTTGAGTCAATGAATAATGTGTCCACTTATTTAAGCATGCATCACATTTACAATTGAATCCAAAAAACATTTTTAACATATTTGCCCTTTCCAGTACTGGTCCATCATAAAATGGGCAATAATAACAGTCAAAAATCTGATAATTTTTTTTTATAGGTTGTATAGCATATAATATAAATTCTTGATTCTTGCCAAAACACCTTCTTGCATTAGGGTTGCAACTATGGTTGATCAAACTAGCTAATGGCGTAATACTAACTCCTCTGATACAAGTCAATTCTGCCCTACATTTTGTCATAGAGGATCCATACTTACAATTGTCATTAGAATTCATTACCTAAAATAATTTATTAATTATTCTTGATTAAAAATTGTTCAAAAAGCTGTAACTAAAAAATAATATTTCTTACCACATGGCTATTAATACTGATTATTTGTACTAGTCGAAGAAGCAAAGCACCAACGAATACAGCACGAGAGTCCAAATTAGCTACTGCTTGAAGATTAGGAAATGGTTCAACCTTTCCAAAAATGTTGGTGAATTTCATTAGACATACAAGTGTTACAGAAGCAAAAATAATGAATCTTCTCATTTCTGTGACAGGATATTCATGTGTTAGACTAAATAAACTACGAAAATCATCAATTTCAATTTTTCCATTCTTGATAAATCCTTTGCAGCGTTCATCTTTATTAAAAATAACAATTTATTTAAATGTAGGGATAAGAAAGTTTTTAAATAAATTTAGATAAATTATCCATACCTTTGGAATTTTCAATGATTTCCAACTCTTTTGATAATTTTTCTAAATTATTACCATGAATTTTGAGATACTTTAAAAATGCTTTAATGCTAAGACCATCAAACGATAGTTTCTCATCAACTTGCTGTTGAATAACACCAAGGAAATGAAGAATATATGGTACGATGCTACATTCAATAGGATGAGAATTTTCCAATGCATCAACTTTACATTTTTCTGAGCAGAATACAAACCAGTTGCAATTTTCACAAGGTATGGACGAATATGCGTACGATAGGCAGTTACAGCACTGACTGTAAGGTGTTCTTACATTTAGATGAGAAACATAAGGTTTTTGAACAAAAATAATTTCACCGGGTTCTATGTTTTTAGTAGCAACTAAATGTCTGCCAAAAGTTGCATTGTATTTTATTGCTACTTTGTCAGTGCTTTCAACTAATTTTTGTGAAACAAGTTTTTGATCCTCGAGTTTGGACTTTTCGAGTAATTTGGTGAGCATTTCAATACGATCTGCGTCTTTTGTTGAAGATTCATCATTAGCCGTTAAACGATCAAACACCTACACAATAATAAAACATCTTTCAGTTGTCGATAAAAAAACTACCTTTCCGATAAAAAAAAACATATCGTCTCACCTCGCCGTCGAAATATTTCAAGCACATGACTTTTCTGTCGATCAATTTTTTCTTGATCTTTATGCAGAGCGGCTCGTAGCGCATGGCCCTCTCGATATCCAACATGCAGTCGACGTATTTGCCGCAATGATAGAGGAGTGCGGATCGATTGCTGTAGGCCAGGGCCATTTGCAGGGAGTTCGAGGGTGCGAAAGCCAGGCTCTGCGTGTAGCGCGTCAAGATCTTCTCGTGAATCACGGCCGAGTGTCCGCTCAGGGCGTAGAGCGCGTTTCCCTCCTTTCTGTACCTGTCGGATTCCTCGGGGTCTTTGGCCTCGTTGTGCACGTTTCTCGCCGCGATGTCCTTCAGGAACTTGGAGCTCAGCAATTCGTTGACGATGAACTCTCGCTCTTGCTTCAACATCGCGTCGAACTTTAAAACTTTAGACAAAGAAAATAAATAAACGAACGTTTCGAACGAGACGCGAATCGTGCAACGACGCGCAATCGAATCGAATGTGATTCTATTCTATATAAAAACACCGATTCACACACTGCAGACTGCGGCGGTTTTAAAACGTTTCTCCGAGAATCTTATTGTGTATCGTCAACAGTGCGACTCGAGAGCGACTGGGCGAATTTCGTACGTCGAGATGACGCTACTTAGCTGCCGCTGATTGCTCGATTGCTCCGTGGCTCACGGTCACCTTGGTCGAGACGATTGTGCGAGCGTTTCGGCCGTTACTGACTGATTCGCGCCACAGCGTATGGCTCGTGTGTTTTCTTCGACGCTTCAGGTTTGATAACGCACTTTTCTGTACGTTTGCCATTTGAATTGAACAGAATGTCTACGACCGATGAACTTCTCGGGATTTTCATACGTTTAAGCCTTATAAACAGAAATAAAAACTGAAAAATATTCCGAAGTAGAATTAACTGCTGCAAGAGTTTTTCTACCCTCTTGGAAAATTTTTCTAATTTTGAAATTTTTTATGTTTGAAATTCAAATTGGTTCGATCAAAGTTATCAGCATGGTTTTTATGCAACAAAATAAAGGATCCTTCGTTTCTTATCTCAATCAATACATCGTCCGTTTTACAAAGCTGGAAAGTTCCTTCAATATCCGAGTTTTGAAACATTTTTGCGCTGCGTATAATAAAATTTTACATATCAATTATTCAAAATCAATTATCATGAAAAAAATGTTATTATGATTAGACTTGAATTTTATTGTTGACTACTGAACTTAATAAAAAAAAACTAATTTGCTGCATGTATTACTTCGAAGGTACTTTAATTTAAACGTTTTTAAATACGTTCTGGGTTACTACGTGTGGATGATCTGCTATCTATCTTTTGACGACAGCATTTTACATAAAAAAATGTACAGAAGATTATTCACGAACTTTTTTAATAATTTAATAATTCCTGTGTGATGAGTTTTATTTTGAGGCACTATTAATACATTGAAGGCCCGAAAAATGTTTGAAATCGAAAAAATTGATTAAATTTAAACGGTTTTTTCTTTTCATCATAATTTTTCTGCAATTCGAATGACAATTGAGCGAATCAATAAGGGGGAAAAATGTTTCCAACATTTCTTTTTCGATTCTAAGATCTTTAAGTCTTTGATTAACTTGAGTTTGAAAATTTAGTCCATTCAAATGCAGGGACTTTTTCTATTCAAGCGAAAAAACTCCGATATCATGGCTAATATATACAAGAAACTTTTTAATCAAGAACTATGCGTTCAAAATTAGTGCGTATTATTACCCAAAATTTATAAATGAAATCGGTATCTTTGTACGTGTAATCCGACAGAGCCGCGACCAATGAAATACTTGGTTATATCGCCCCACTTCCACAATAACAATATCCGCTTTCAACTGTGGAAGTACATCGATTCGATTATTATTCATCTCTCCGGGACACACAAGTCTCCAGTCGCTCGCCCAGCGAAGCGGTTTACAGTTCCTCACCTTCCTCCCTTGCTCGAGTTCGTGTGCCGTGTTGCGCTGTCCGCAAATAATAATAATAATAATCATAATCGGGCGAAAATGAGCAGCCGCGGAGACGATTCGTCCTCGATCGGGACCAACGACGATCTGCCCAATTCCGAGGACGAGTTGGAGAGGAGGAAGACCATGGCAGCGATAGAAAGGCGGATAGCGACGGAACAAGCGGCAAAGATCGGTCAGGCTTCCACGTCGGCCGCGATCAGCAACAAGGATGACTCGTCCTCGATCGGGACCAACGACGATCTGCCCAATTCCGAGAACGAGGCGGAGCAAAAGAGGATCAGAGAGTCGATCGAGACGCGCAAGGCGACGGAACGAGCGGCGAAGATCGGCCAGGCTTCCACGACGGCCGCGATCAGCAACGACGATCATCATCGGCCCAAAGCCAAAAAAGTAGCGCAGCCGGAGGTGGTGCTGCTGCCGAGGATATCGGAACCACCAGGCCACAGGAGGCCAGAAGAGGAAGCGAAAAAAGAAGGAAGAGTAGAGGAAGAAGAAGAGGAAGAGGAAGTAGAGTACTTCACGTTCAACTGGCACATCGTCCTCGACCCCGAACACATCAAGCGCAATGTCGTCGTCCACTCGTCGATCTTCAAGACCAATTACCTCGAGGTCAGCATGAGCGCCCAGCCGGTCTACGAGGCTTGCCAGAATTGCCAGAATGACCAGAAGCAAAAAGCCTGGCACCTGCATCTGTACTGCCGGGCCGACTGCGGCGCCGCCGGAATCAACCTGTCGAACAAGTTCGAGTTCCGCATGGCCACGGAGTCCGGCAACGCGTTCTCCTTCTGCCGGCTGGACAACCAAAATCCGACCTTCCAGGGCAAGATCGGTCTGGCGCACGAGCCCAACCTGACCGAGTCCGGCATAAAAATCTTCAGGATCCAGTGCCGGCTGTCGGACTCGTGCCTTCTCGACACGACCCGCGAAGATCCGCGCACCAGGTCACTGGGCATCGGCGTGCACCAGGACATCTACGCGAACTACTTCGACATGCTGAAGAGCGGCGAATACTCGGACGCGACGATCAAGTGCGACGATTACGAGTTCAAAGTGCACCGGCACATACTGTCGGCGGCCTCGGTGGTGTTGAGGGAACTGTTCGACAAAGCGCCCAAAGACCAGCCGCTCGAGTCCATCGTCATCAATGACGTGCCCGTGCGCACCCTCCAGGTCTTCCTCAAGTGCATCTACACGGGCGTCGTGGAGGGACTGCGCGAGCACTTCCACGACTACTTGTTGCTGGCCCATCGTTTCGACGTGCCTAGCCTGCTTCGCGTCCTCAACAATTTCGCCCATATCGTCCTGACGAACGCCGGCATCGATCTGGACGAGCCGCTCCGGAGTCGGCCCGCCTCGAGCGGCCTCGTCTTCGAATTCGACCACGAGTACCAGCAGCTGTGCCTAGAGGCCGAGCTAGCCAGGGGCAGCGAGCTCGAGAGGAAGATCATCGAGATGAACAGACCCGGTGCCGATGCGAATGGAAACGCGGCCAATGCGACGGACTCGGATCAGCAACAGGATGCGGCGTCGGCACCGGAGACGACGAACCCCATCAACAGGCGCAAACAAAAGAAGCAGAAAAAAGTTCAGAAAAAGCCACCGCAACTGTCGGCCATCGACGAAGCCAGAGCCTCGGTGGAGCGAGAAGCTGCGAGGCAAGCCGAGGAAGAACAGCGGGCCGAAATGGAACGGGTTCCAGCGCCGGAACCAGAGCGAGCGCGAGCGCCAGCCCAGCCTGCGTTCCAACCGGTCGCCTCGAGGAGGACGATAAAACTGAGTAAACGGCAAGCCAAGAGGAACAAGTAGACTCTGTGCGCGAGGAAACTGTAAATCGATAAAGGACTATAATCTGATCTCCCCGTCCCGCGACTCGATTAATTTTAGAAATTAGTTTGTATCCAAACATTTTTTATTTCTCGATCTAGCTCCCAAGAGCCTTTTATACGTAAGAGTAACGACGACGAGCGCAATTGTAAATACTTTCAAAGAAAAGTATATTTATTCGTTTTTATAATTTGTGAGATAGTTATATGTGCGATCTACGAAAGTCGTACACATACAAACTCGCGAGTCTCGCGATTTTACTATTTGAATATAGACGTAATAATTATAAATTTTCAGATCTCTACGACGAGGCTCGAGTTCCAGTGTTTATAATCATAAACATCGGGTGAACGCGTTTTCACGAATCTCAATATTTCGCATTGTCACGCGATGGTAAATTGTGTATTGAAAATATGTGTCAATTATTATTACACTCTGTCTCCGGTGTATTCCTCGCTTACACAGGCAATACGTAAATATTGTATATATGATAATAAAATTATATCCTCGTAAACTGTTACGACCTATAAATCAAATTTTCAAAAAAAAAAAAAAAAAAAATTATTAATCGTTCGCGTTATATCAAACATCAAAAGGACTTATTGGAATGATATAAATTAAACTGAATCAGTTCTTTAAAGTTCTGGATTCGTGAGGAGCAGTAGCGCCAAGATTTTCATTGAAACGATTTCAATTGATATTTTACCAATTCGTGTACAACTAGGAGTATTTCATCGTTAGTAATTAAACGAGATAAAATTTGTACGATCAAAACAAATGATTTCATATTTTAGAATTTCATCAAATGAACTGAATTTTGGGTTTTTGAATCTTTTTTTTTCTTTATTCAAACTACGTTCAATTCGTACAATTAAAAATTTTTTATGTTAAAGTTAAGAATCAAAGCGAACGAGTCAAATTATCACATAACTCGATGCAATCTATGATGCTAAAAATCATATCGATCAAAAGCTATGTACATTTTTAGGATAAAAGTCGACACTCTTCGTCGGTATAAAAGCTTGCATCGACATTTTCAGCGAGTCACGCGCAAACGATCGACGACTCTCTTCTTTCTCAAAGCAGCGACGGATGGTCGTCGATGCCGTAGCGCATGTCGCTCAGCGTCATCCAGCAGTAGCCGTACCACTTCTCGGTGGCGATCGAGTCGGCCGCGCGATTCACGCAGGCCTGCAGGTAGCCGCGGCATCGCTCCTCGAGGCGGGGCGTGTCGAACCTCGAGGCCAGCCTCAGCTGGGCCACGGCCGTGCGCGCGAGATCGGACCCCGCCGCCGTCGCCGGCAGCTCGCCGGTGTACAGGAAGCGCAGATACGCCTGCAGATCGCGGCCCCCGATATTGTCGTCGTACACCAGGTGATCGCAGCGCGTCCTCGTGCGCGAGGCTAGCCAGAAGAAGGCGCGGAAGACGCGAGAGGCCGCGGCCAGTATACACTTGTGCACGTGGAAGCGCTCGCCGTCGCACTGGATCGCCAGATCGGACAGGTACTCGTGCGAGCTCCACAGCGGCTCCAGGTTGAGCTGCTTGCTCGAATCGTCGTCCTTCGAAGCGAGCTCTAGCTCGTTGGCGTCGTCGATCTCCCGCTTCTCGTCCTTCGCGATCGCAGCTCCCGTTACTCTCTCCTTCAAAATATCCTGCTTGGCTCGAAAAATGACGCTGATGTGATTGCAATCCTTCACGAGGTCGTAGTGGACGAAGCCGACGAACAGGCAGAAGCTCTCCACCCAGTGCTCGATGTTTTCGCAGAACTCGTCGGAATATAACGTCAACGCGTAAGCCATTTTGGAATTTCGCACGTAAATCTCAAAGTCCGACGGTTTCAAGAGCTCGACGTCGTCGCTGTACAGGAGGACCGTCAGATGGAGACCCGGGCAGCACTCGTCGTTGGTGATGAACTGCAGCTCGAAGTTGAACGGGTGGCCGAAGGCGTAAAAATTCGGGGATTGCCTTCTGCCCTGCACAAGTTGAAAATTATACACCGTCCATTCGAACGTCACGAGCTCCTCGAGCTTGGGCCCGACGACGCTCTCCCAGCTCTGCTCGAGCATCACCGGGGCTACGCTCGCGCACGTCAGCGGCGCTTTCGTGACTTGGAACAACTCCTCCTCCTCCTCCTCCTCCTCCTCCTCCTCCGTATTCGTATCCGTATCCGTATGCTCTTCGTTTTGATGGTCCATTTTTTCTTTGTGCCGGTGTGTATATAATAAAAATAAAAATTTATCGTCGCAGTGTCAGGCACCGATTGTGGCTGACAACCGACGTTATAAATAAACCAACGAATAAATCGGTCGACTTTTTCGAAAGCTCGGAGATGCGCCACCTCAATTCGATCCGATTAAATTTTAATCGATCATTACCGTGTACTTTTCAGCGCGATCGAAATCGCGAACGCGTTTGAATTTCGACTCGTACGCATACGACGAATCGCGCGCACCCCACTCCCGAACCTCCCCGTCGATTTTTCGAGTCAATAAATTCGAACGGTCTGTACACACACCGACCGGTACGGATTTACGTACATCACGATCGATCGGCCAGTGGTCAAATTACAACCGTCGATCTCGCTGTTTTTAATATATAATAAAATCGTCTCGTAATCATGGCCGTACCCCTCGATCAAACCTTCTGCTCGATTCCGGGGAAAATCGAGGCCGCGCCACGGCCCACGTTCACGTGGCTGATCGACATCAAGCCCGAGCTGGATCGGGACACGCTGCATCTCGAGTCGCCCACCTTCTACACGGAGTTCGGCGAGTACCAGATGACGCTGGACACGGCCCCGATGGCCGGGGGAAAGTGCCGCGAGTGCGGCGAGACGCTGCACCACGTCATCTGGATCTACGAGAGGAGGATAATCGTACCACGCGAGACAGATGTGATGGTGGAAGAGAGGAGCGACATCAAGCGACACAGCTTCGAGCTGAAGAAGGGCGCCGAGGGCCTTCCCGTGAGAGTCTGCGGCCACTCCTTCGAACTGTTCTATCACGAGTTCATCGCGGTATCGGAGATCCGCGACAGCTCGAGACTCGCGATCGTCGTGACCCTCGAGCGGCCCCCCGCCGACATCGCCGAGAGGATAATGATTCCCGCCATCCACATACACAGAGACCTGTGCGAGTACTTCAACGAGCTCTGGTGGAAGGGCGAGCGCGCCGACGTAAAATTCGTGGTCGAGGGTCAGATCATGAAGGCGCACCGCGAGATCCTCGCGGCCAGCAGCGACACGTTCCGGGAGAAGTTACGCGTCCAGGCCTCGCCCGATTTTCCGGTCTGGGTGTCGCTGCACGACGTTCAGGCCAACGCCTTTCAGGTCTTTCTGCGCTGCATCTACACGGGCCAGGTCGACAACATCGACAGGTGGTGCTTGCCGTTGCTCATGCTCGCGCAGAGGTACAAGGTCGACTGCGTGAAGCGATTGTGCATCAACTATATGAACATCGTCAAGATTAACTCGAATCCCGGCGCGGACGTGAAGGCATTACAGTTGGAGCACGCTCGGACCAGAGCGAAGTTCGAGGAAGAACTGAAGAAGGCAAGGGAGCGGAACACGAAGAAGAAGGAGAAGGAGGTGCAGGTGGAGGAGGAGGGCAAAGACGATCCGAGCGTGCAGGCAGAAAATACGAAGAACAGCAGGCTTGGAACGGAGGAGAGCGCGTCGACGAGCCTCGAGCCCCAGTACATAATACCGTTGGAAGATCGAAGAGCTTCTCTTCCCGGCGAGCCCGACGAGCCACCTCCGCCGTACAGCTCGCCCGACCGGACTTCCCTTCCAGCCGATGGTCCGGACAGCGACGACGATCGCGGACCCTCGCCACCTCCGGCCTACTCGTCGAGCCCGACGGTCCAAGTGGAACAGCAGGTGCCGGTCGCTTCCACCAGTGGCTCCACCAGTGCCACCAGCGTCGCCGCCGCACCGCCGCTATCGCCTACGCTACCACCGCCGCTACCGCGAGCGCAACCACGACGAGCCCGACCAGCACGACCAGCTGTACCGACCGACGACATCTTGCCGGGCTCGAAGCCTCATTTGAAGAACTGGTTCGAGATACAGAAGGGCACCGTCGGTACCGAGGGATCGAGGGCGTCGTCTGCTTCCCGCCGGTCGACGGTATCCGCCACTTCCCGCCCGTCGACTCCTACCTCGCTGCCCTCCAACAATTCGAATCGCGATTCCAACGCTTCTGTCGCACCGCTACCGACGATCCCACCTGCGGAGCTTACTTATTTGAAGCTCGACGTCTCGGCACTCTTGCTGAATCGGACGTTTCCGGTGCCTCGTGTTCCTGGGCCAGAGCCGTCGGTCCCCGCCGAGAGGAGCTGCAGCGTCGATAGTCTCGAGGAGCCACAGAAGAGTCCCGAGCCCGAGGCCCGGTCGATCAACGAAATGAAACAAGAAGTGAATGGGTATCTAACGAAGACGAAGGGCGCCTCCTTCACCGAACGCGTGCAAAGCGTCAGTCAGACGAGACGCCCCGAGGGCCTCGAACAGAGACTCCTTTCGACTGCCGCCGCCGATGCGACACCGCTTGTTCCTACGTCACCGGTTGCGGAAGTTCCGACGAACGACACCGCCGCCTCCGCCAGAGCAGCAGCAGCAACTCCAACCTCCTCCACGGGGACGACGAAGAAGAAGGGAAAGAAGAAGAAGGGGAAGAAAAATAATAAGCCGGCGAGCAGCGACGCCAAGCCGAGCCTCGACGATGGCAAAGTCGAGACCGTCGACGATGACAAAGACGGTGAGAAAGAAATGACGGACAACTGCGACGAACTGGCTATCGAAGTGGCTGCTAAGATGCGGTTGGTAAACAACGAATATCAGCAGAGGTTAAGAAAGTTATTGGAGAGTAAGGAAACGAGCCGGGCAGCAAAATTCATGAATTCAGTAGGGGTCGCACAAAAAAAGATGGTGAGTTTTTTTGATCCTGATTTTGTAGCAAGTCTGAGAGAAGCCGATGAGGCAAGAAAAAAAGCTGCCCAGGCTGAATTAGAGACGGCGAACTGCAATAACAAGCCCGGCGGTTCTACTGAAGCGTTTAATTCTGTACTGGGGGAACTCTTAACTGTCTATGATCAAGTCAGTAATAATGAAGAAAAATCCAATGAAAAAGAAGACTCTCCCGAGGCAGTTGACTCGAATTCTTTCATGGATAAAATTGTAGCTGCTATGAAGGAAGATGTATCCCTAACGGTTGAAGACTCCAAGGAAATCGAAGGCTCTGGAGATGAAAATGAAACGGAAGACTGCGATAAAAATGATGACCGTCGTATCGAGGAAGCCCGTACGAGTTTCCTTGTTACCGAAGAAACCGAAGCCTCTGAAAAGACTTATAAAATCGAAGTCTTTCATACGACCGATAACTTATCAGATATTCGCAGCGCTGCAAATGAAGAAATATCTAATGAAACCATTGCAAATGAAGAAATATCTAACCAAACGAAAAAGACTCACGAATCATCAACGAGTTCGACACTCCCTAAGGAAGCCAAAGACCCTGAAGATGAAGAAAAATCCAATGAAAAAAAAGACTGTGATAAAACTGATGACCGTAGTATCGGTGAAGCTCGTACGAGTTTCCGAGATTCCGAGGAAACCAAAGCCTCTGAAGAGACTGACAACATCGAAGTCTCTGATACGACTAAAGACGCATCAGAGATGCGCAGCGTTGTGCGAGGCACTTCGAGTTCTAAAATTTCGGAGACATCTGAAACCTCTGAAAAGGAAGAAAAATCCAAGGAAACGAAACAATCTCACAAGAGTAACGACTGCAATGGCGCTGAAAATTCAACGAGCTTGACAGTCTCTAAGGAAGCCGAAGCTCCTGAAGACGAAGAAAAAGCCAATGAAAAGGAAGACTCTGACGAGAGCGACGACTGCAAACTGGAACTGGAGGACTCTCTAGATAGTTCTAGAACAGTCTCCGTTATCGAGGATTCAATCCAAATCTTGGAAGAGACTGATAACATCGACATCGACGATATGATTCAAGCCGTAGAGATACGCGATGCTTTAGAAGCCTCTGTGAGTTTTAAAGTTTCTAAGAAATCTGAAGCCTCTAATGAAACAGACGAGCAAGTTGAAAAATCTGATGATGTAAAAGTCAGTCAAAAGAGTGAAGATTCCAAGAGTGCAGATGATTCTTTGGAATCTAAAAATTTTGAAGAAATCAACGGCTCTATAAGTAAAGAAAATTCAAATGAAACTGAGGCCTCTAACGAGATAAAAGACGCTGCAGAAAATGAAGACTCCAATGAGGTTGAAGAACCTGTACCCGCCGAGGACCCTCAGGAATATGAAGACTTCAATGAGGTTGAAGAAGCTGTACCCTCCGAGGATCCTCTGGAATATGAAGACTCCAATGAGGTTGAAGTACCTGTACCCGCTGAGGACCCTCAGGAATATGAAGGTTCCAATGAGGTTGAAGAACCTGTACCCATCGAGGACCCTCTGGAATATGAAGACTCCAATAAGGTTGAAGAACCTGTACCCGCCGAGGACCCTCAGGAATATGAAGGTTCCAATGAGGTTGAAGAACCTTTACCCATCGAGGACCCTCTGGAATATGAAGATTTCAATGAGGTTGAAGAAGCTGTACCCTCCGAGGACCCTCTGCAATATGAAGACTCCAATGAGGTTGAAGAACCTGTACCCGTCGAGGATCCTCTGGAATATGAAGGTTCCAATGAGGTTGAAGAACCTGTACCCATCGAGTACCCTCTGGAATATGAAGACTCCAATAAGGTTGAAGAATCTGTACCCGCCGAGGATCCTCTGGAATATGAAGACTACAATGAGGTTGAAGAAGCTGTACCCTCCGAGGACCCTCTGGAATATGAAGGTTCCAATGAGGTTGAAGAACCTGTACCCATCGAGGACCCTCTGGAATATGAAGACTCCAATAAGGTTGAAGAACCTGTACCCATCGAGGACCCTCTGGAATATGAAGACTCCAATAAGGTTGAAGAACCTGTACCCGTCGAGGATCCTCTGGAATATGAAGACTACAATGAGGTTGCAGAACCTGTACCCATCGAGTACCCTCTGGAATATGAAGACTACTATGAGGTTGCAGAACCTGTACCCATCGAGTACCCTCTGGAATATGAAGACTCCAATGAGGTTGAAGAACCTGTACCCATCGAGGACCCTCAGGAATATGAAGACTCCAATGAGGTTGAAGAACCTGTACCCATCGAGGACCCTCAGGAATATGAAGATTCCAATGAGGTTGAAGAACCTGTACCCATCGAGGACCCTCAGGAATATGAAAATTCCAATGAGGTTGAAGAACCTATACCCGCCGATGAACCTCGGGCAATTGAAATATCTAGCGAAGCTAAAAACTCTACGGACGAAGAAAATTATGACGCAATCGGCGAATATATAGATGATTCATATAAGCTCGATCTCTTCTACAAGTATGTTGAAAAATGGGACTTGAGATAGTTTTCATCGATGAAAATTACTAGGGAAAATCAAAAATAATCAAGTTAGAAATTATCTCGTTACATAATATCATGTATATCAATTTATCTTATTATCAAATGGACTTTTATGTTTTCTGCGAAGTTATGAATAACCCAAGATCGATAAAAACAATAAAAGCAACGATTGAGTACTTTGTAAGGAAAGTATGATACGATAAATTTGTACGATGTTCAACGTACAAAGCTCAGACATTGATGTATTGTAATATATTGATGTGAATCAATAATATTATAAATTTTATTCTTGAAATTATAAAAATATTTTGCGCTAGAATAAATTGGTAATATTTGAATCGTCAATATTTTGTTATTATTCAAATAAATGTTTTTCTTTTCTCAAACGAATATTAAATAATAACTCAACTAAATGAATAACAAATAATAATAATTAGATTTTGTTCAGAGATGAGAAAGGGACATTTTTATTCTTATACACTCGGCAACAAAAAAATTCATCGAAATTTTGTCGATTTTCAAATGCTTCTATCTTGGGCTAAATTTATCGTATCGACACGCTTTTTTTTTAATTTCTTGGAAATTTCGTCCTCTTTAAATCCATATAAATTGAGATAAGATTTGAGTTAATGTTGAGTTACCAGTAGTATTTGAGCGTGACCCTAAAAATGACTGTTTGAACGTGTACCAGTACCATAGTGATTTTTTTATCGAAATCTAACATACACCATCGCAAAGTGCTCTTTTTAATGAGTAATTTAAAAAGACCTCTCTATGATTTTTTTAACGCCCTGAAGGTCGATTTGAAGGTACGGTTTATGTACGCAAAATGCCCAGAAAATCGTCTTGATTTCAGCTAAACGGGGGATTTTACGTACTTTAAATGGTATCTTCAAAACGACCAGCAGAGCGTTAAAAAATCGTAGAGAGGTCTTTTTTTTTAAATTACTCGTTAAAAAGAGCACTTTGCGATGGTGTATGTTAGATTTCGATAAAAAAATCACTATGGTACTGGTACACGTTCAAACAGTCATTTTTTTTTCAGTAATTTTTAGGGTCACGCTCAAATACTACTGGTAACTCAACATTAACTCAAATCTTATCTTAATTTATATGGATTTAAAGAGGACAAAATTTCCAAGAAATTAAAAAAAAAGCGTGTCGATACGATAAATCTAGCCCAAGATAGAAGCATTTAAAAATCGACAAAATTTCAATGAATTTTTTTGTTGCGATATTTTGTTGCCGAGTGTATATTTTTTCATTATTATGATCAAGCAAAGTCGCGTCACAGAAATGAAATGGTTATTTTGCTCTCGTTTATCATTGAAAATGTCCTATTTATTGTAACTTATTCGAGTCACTTGAAAGTAACATACAAACTCGTGAAAATTTTCATATGCAGGATAACAGATCCTTTTGGTCGGTAGTTCATTAATAATCACGTACAATATAATAGATACGATTGAGCCCTTGCGGTGGTTCTACGATTACTGCTTATTCTGCATCTCCCTGATCGCGGCGCACAGCTTGGCGACTTCCTCCGGGATGTTCGGCAGCACCGTCTCCGTGTAGAACTCCTCGTCCATGCCGAGGCCACCCATCGTCGTCGTCGTCGTCTTCCGGGCCTTTCGCACGCATTCGTCGAGGTAGGATTGGCAGGCGAGCCTCAGGCCGGACACCTTGAACCTGTCGGCCAGCTGCATGAGCGGCAACACCTGACTCTTCAGGTCGGCCACGCGGCCCGTGTAGATGCAGCTGAGAAACGCCTGAAAGTCGTCGGGGTCGATCGCGCGCCCGTCGATCTGGTGCTCGATCGCGGGCCCGGCGAGCACGAGCTCGTCGGTCTGTTTGAGCTTGTCGCGCAGCACCGGACTGCAGCCCGCCAGCACGACCTTGTGCGCACGGAAGCGTCGCTCGCCGACCACCAGCACGCAGTCGGTGAACTCGCCACCGGTCCAGAGGTTGGCCAGGCCGTCGTCGAACAGGATGGCGTGCAGGGCGTTGGTCGGCGTCAGGCCGTTGTCCAGGCTCGTCGTGTCCATGGCCCAGTGCTTGCGGCCGACCGAGAGATCGATCACGATGGCCGTCGTCGTCGAGGCCGGATGAAAAGCGCCTCGCCAGTAGGTGTTTTCGGGCCAGTTCGGACCGTTCGGTTCGCAGAGTTTCTCCTTCTCGCCGCAGTCGTTGCTGATGGTCACTTTGAACTCTTTGGCGGGCACGTCGCGCAACTCCATCGTCGTGAAAATCGAGACGCACAGGTGCTTCGTCTCTTTGCAGGCCGACGATCCACCTTGATCGTCCAGTGCGATGAAATCCTCCTTCTCGGGCTTGTGAATTTTCATACGTATCTGGTGGTCCGCGACGTAAAACACCGGAGAAATCGTCTCGTCGACGACGTCATTGGGATGGACGACTTTCCATCGGAACTCGAAGAAACTTTCCTTCGGTGGATCTATCACGGTTATGTGACGTTGGTGGCTCATGATGACGAAGGTAGAGCTCGGCGAGCTTTTGCTGTTTTATTATTTTTATAAAGCTTAACGAAAGCCGAATACCACCGGCTAATCGGTCAAACGCAATGTAACGCTTGCGCGAGCGACGTAACGGAGAGCTCCCGATCGACCGTTGACCGGTAAATTTTATACAGTCGAAATTATCGAGTGGGGCGAGCATTCGTTAATTCAAAATTTATAATTCGAAATCTCGATAATAGTAATAACTCGACCACAAAAATTTTAACTAATACAATCGATCTCTTTTCCTACGATCCTCAAAAGATTTATAAGAAAATTTCGAAGCTAAAATAGAATAAGAAAAAAAATCGTAAAAGCATCGATGATTTTAGCTTGATCAAGTATCATTACCTTGCCCGATGCTTATTATACATTCACCCCACCCGTCGATCGACGAACGTCGGGCAGTTTTGAGCTCCTGTCGGCGATCAGAACGTAAACAAAATATTATCTCTCTCGTTTCTCGCATCATCGTACCGCGTTTTCAACGGAGTAATAATAGCCGATCTCGGTCCAAGATCTCGGAGCAAAAAAAAGTTTCGAAAACTCCACGCCCAACAGTTTAAAAGTGTGCCCATAAAGAGTTTCGCACCATGAGTCTGAAAACGAAAAATCTGTTCTGCGAGACGAACCTCGAGCTCGTGAACAACGAGATCAACTTCAACTGGCGCATACGCAACTTCTGCAACTTCAAGAACGTGGAGAAGCAGGGCCTGCGCTCCGCCACGTTCAGCGCCTTCGATCGCGAGTGGTACCTGCGCCTCGAGAGCACCCCCCATCCCAATGTGCGCAGCATCTTCGCGAGTCTGTGGAAGCGTTACGTGCTGGTGCGTCTGGTGTGCCTCGACGGCGACGACGACGTCGTCAAGGGCGACCTCGATTACCAGCTGCTCGTGTTCAACGGCGACTGGAAGAATCTCGAGCTCTGCCCGCTCGAGCGCAGCTACGTCACCGCCGCAGACCAGTCGCACAAGGCCATGACCAAGGGCGTGATCTTCGACTACAATCAGGAACTGCTCAAGTCGAGCGCGGATCTCGTGGTGATGTGCAAGATCACGAGGACCGAGCCCAGCGTCGAGACGAGAATAGTCCTGGAGCCGACGACCCAGAATCTGCTGCCCGACCTCGACAAACTCTCGCTCGACGACATGTCGATACTCGGCCAGTCGACATCGCCAGCTCGGACGAGGGGCGACCGGCCGCCATACTGACTGAGGGTGGCCTTCCTGGCGATGGCTAATGCGGCGTTTATGGTCCACGGTTTGTATCGATGGTTGCATTAGAGAGATAGAAAAAACGGGAGTGACTCGTCTAACGAAACCAAACAAAAAATAAAAGATTTTTTGCGTAGCCGGAATGAAGATATGTACATTGTGTAATATGTATCGGCTTGTAAACGACAGAAAAGTGAGCTACGATGAATAACTGGTGTTTTAATTGAATAACCGTGATTTTTAAAGGGAAATGAGAAATCCTGAATGACTTTTATACACGTAATGATAAAATGTATGTATGTGCGTCTCATATATAAACGAAATTTGGGCACATCAAACGGACAGTGCCGCGCGACTAATTAGATCTTAAAAATAAAATAATTGCATTGTCTGCAATCTCGCGATGTAAAAACCATCCCAAAAAAAAATTCTCGCCGCACGTAATGTACGTTCAATACTTGGGTAAAATATTTTATTTCAAACTGTGAATTATTAATCATTGTTTATACTTGTATTGTGTATATCTTGTCGATATACTTATATGCCTCGGTATACGAGATAGGTACGTGCGTAAATAGAGAACGTACTCTTGAGCGAGAATTTATTTTATGTTATTTAGACATTTATAAATTAAATATGAAAATCTAATATCGAATAAATGATGCACGTTATCTAAAATTTTCTCGTTTTCATTGCTCTCTCTCTCTCTCTCTCTTTATTGTCATTTTATATTTCCAATGTTTGATTAAATAATTAATATTTGTAAGCATCTATAAAGAGTACAAACATATTAATGAATGGATAATATTTTTTGTATTGCATCATGCCAAAAATAACTTATTTCATTGGGTTATTGAATTCAAAATAACAAAAAAACTATTTAAAAGTAAAATGAAAAATAAACTGTAATAATAAATGGTTACTAATGAATCATCATCATTTTAAAGTACACGCAGAGCCTAAAGCATAAATTTCGACGCTCCAAAGTGTATAGATAAGTTTGTATGCATTGTAAACATGTAGGTTACAGGCTTTTGTTTACCGGCAACATGTGACAGCCAAAACATGAAAATTTAGCTCTTTCGACGTGTAAATTATTGGTTATATTAACATCAGCAAAAGAATAAAAAAAAATCAAATAAAAATGTCGTGCACCAACAAGTCCACGGCTCTGGACATGCTGAGCTTCCGCAAATCCATGTAAGTCATACCCAATTATTGGTTTCGTAAAAAAAAACCTGCGATGATTTTCAATATCATACCTCCCTGGACGCATCTCGACGCGCATCAGCTACCTGGACGAGCTGAAAGCGACGATGCCGCTGGCCCAGGGGACGGCGCCTCGGTCGCACCTGCCGCGCTGGAATAGGCTGCCGCTCGAGGCCAAGATGCCGATGATGCCGTCGGGCCTACAGGTCGGCGAGTTTCACACGCGTCGCAAGCTCGGCCGCGGCCTCCGACTGCCCTTTCACGACCCCAAGCGCTTCGACACCTCGGACCCGTTCAATCACGACGCGCCGCTGGCCTACGACGGTCTGCACGATCGTCACCTGGCGCCCTTCTTTCGCGCCTCCAAGCAGCGACAGGACGTTTTGGTCAAGGTACGCGTTGTTATTTTTTTTTTTTTTTGCAGGGAGATCCGAAAGACGACGATAGGCAATTTTCGTTCGTTTTATTTATCAGGCTGGAATGATAACGCCGAAATTGGATGTCAAGTGCAACCTCAGAGAGTACAACGCCTACAGGAAGTATTTGAGGATGATGCAGGGCAAGTATCTGAAGAAGGAGCTCGAGCACCGCGACGAGACGCAGCAGGAGAAGCGCATACTCGACATCACCGCGACGTTGGCGGAGAAAAAAATGGAAAGGTAAAACGAGTGAGATTGTCGCGAAACGTTTCAACTACGTACAACCACGCGTTCTCGTCTTGCTGCCAGGATAAAAAAAGTCGACACGGTGCTGGAAAACAAGGAGCGCATCGACTCGCACAAGCGCAACAAGCTCCAGAAGTACAGCCAGAAGCAGGCCGAGGACGAGAGGCGGGTGCGGACGATGCGCGAGCGCGACGCCGAGTACTGGGAGATGAAGAGGCTCGAGTCGATGGTTCGTCGCGACAAGCTCGTGGCCAAGCTCAAGGCCATGGCCAAGGACGAGCAGCAGAAGCTGCTGAATCTGCTCAAGCAGTTCCACGAGCGAGACCAGCGGCTGAGGCGCGATCTGCGCGAGCTGTGGCACGACAAGCGCCGCAGGAAGGTGCGCTGCGAGTCGTGCCGATTCGAGGACAAGAAGAGGTCGCAGGAGGCGGCCATCGAGAGGGACGCGAGATTGAAGCGGTGCGCCGCGAGGATCAGGGAGTCGTTCATCGGCTCGTACGAGCGCAAGGTCGAGGAGAGCCGCAGAAGATTGAACGGTGAGCACGCGATAACGAGGACATTTGTTTCGGAGCTCGAAGATACTATTTTTTTTTCATCTTCAACAGAGTTGTTCATCGCCAAGAGGAAAAACTTGGAAAAGTCACTGAAAGCTAAAAGAAAAAAGAAGAGGAAGAGTAAAAAAGGCCCGCAGTGTTTCTGCAAAGTCAACTGAGCTCGGACTTTTTGGAATCGAAACGCGATCGATTTTCAGATCTGTCTTGAAATCTTTTTATTGTTTAACATGTAATTTATATACGCACATCGATATACAATCAGCTCATACGTTCATTGTTACATTACTCTATATAGTCGTATCTCTCATTCTCTCGCGTTGTACAATATAATATCGTTATATCATTATGCGATATCGGTATCGTGTATCGTAATATAGCAAAAAATCTGGCAAACTTAACAAATTGTCGATCGTGCAGAGCATTATTTCTCTCTCTCATACACACTTTTTTTTTGTTCTCCTCGCGAGTAATCGATCGTCGTGCGTGCAGCAGTAGAGGCCACACAATCGTGTCGCTTGATTGGATTTACTATTACAGGTATGCGCACGTGAGACATTATTAACGACCATCGTGCGAAATACAATATTACAATGTCTGAACACGTTTTAAATATTGTTATAGTTAAGTATAAAAGTAGCACGATGAGCGCGTTTGCGAGTGTGTGGACACGGCTCGAAATAAGGACATTTTTTTATTTGCCTCGTTTTCGTTATTATATAAAGTCAATTGGTGCAAAAGAGTCACATCCATCTAAACGATACTGGGTGCTAAGAAAAAAGCACATATTGCACACAAAAACGTATAATGTTACGTACTTTATACCGAGAGAAATTTTTCACGTTCACGGGCAAAATTTGTGCGCTATCAAACTCAGGGTGAATTTTCTGTTACAGAATATTAGTAATTTTCTCTATGATAGTAGTTAGACTGTAAGGCTTCTAAAACCTCCCCTAAAAGAACTACCCCTAATAATCTCAATGGGGTTGAAAATTGTTGCAACTTTTTTGCAAGCGTTAAAAAAAAATTAATGCAGGCATGTGGGTAGTCATAGGTGCTCGTATAGGTGTGGTGCATCCGATTCTGCACTACAATTTTTTTTAACCCTTGCAAAAAAGTTGCAACAATTTTCAACCCCATTGAGATTAATAGGGGTAGTTTATTTAGGGGAGGTTTTAGAAGCCTTACAGTCTAACTACTTATGATTATAACAATTTTTCTACGTTCCATATTCTACAATAGAAAATCCACCTCGACTTTGACTGCGCAAAAATTTTTCCAACGAACGTGGCAACTTTTACCGAAGAAGTTTTCTCAGAGCAATAAAAGCTCAGCAGTAAATCATCCGGTACGTTGCAAGTTTTCCTGATTCAAACAGTCGCTTATTTTTCATACCCTTGCCAGTACACAATAACAAATTTCATATACTTGCCATTTTGAATAAAGTCGGTGTACACGCGTTACAATAATAATATACTATTTATATATAATATTAATATCGATTCCTCCGGTAAAAAATAAATTCCACCTATTAAATACGACACGCGCACTCGTACTCGAAGTACCGCAATCGGGTTATATCGTAAGCTCCAGGCCTATGCATAACTCGGTCGTGCTTTATTATCATCGTCGTCGTCGTCGTCGTGGATCAGTGAAGCGAACATCCACCGTTATTAAGACAGCAACTCGATCTCCGACTTGATGTTGGTACGGGCCTGCTCCTCGTACTTCTCCCGGAACTCCTTCGTCGCGAAGATGTTGGGTATTTGCAGAAAGTTCTGCAGCACCTGTAATCGATACCCAAATTATTCGAACGAAGAGCTTCGTAACAATGAACAAAAAAAGGTAGGACTGTGTGTGCGACCTTGAGCCTGAGCGCCGTGTACATGGGCTCGCTGAGGAACGAGTACTCGCCGCGTATCTTGTCGCAGTAGTCGGCGTACTTGTCCGGGCAGGAGCCGAGCACGGCCATGTCCAGGTCGAGCAGGTAGTGCGCGTCCTCGCTGCCGTAGACGCCGTCGATCTTGTGCGCCTCGGTGCTGTTGGTCGTCGCGGCCTCGAGCAGCTGCCGCGTGTCCTTGGCGAGGTCCGAGTCCGCCTCGATGCCGACCTCGGCGGCGAACGCCTCGAACTGATCCAGATTCTTCGTGTCGCCGTCCAGGGCCTTGGGGTCGTAATCCAAGCTGCGTACAGCGAAACGAATGTCAATTTTCTCTAGCAATTTATTATAAGCAAGCAGGATCAGTTCGATATATACGTACTTTTGAAAGAATATCGCCAGCAGCATGGCCCGGGGATTCTTGAGGCAGTCGCGCGCCTCGGCGTAGGCGGCCAGCTTCTCGCCCAGCGTCTCGAGATTGTGATAGGTGCGCTTGGCGTCGCCGTAGGCCTCCTGGACGCGCACCAGCCAGGACTCGCTGGCCGCCTCGTCGAGGCCCTGCGTGGCCTCGCGCCAACAGTCCTCTATCGATGCCATTTTTGTTGTTGTTGTTGTAAATAATAAACACTCGCTTCGAGTTCTTGAGATGACGCACTCGTCGTTCTGCTGCTGCTACTGCTGCTGGCTCGAACTAACGCGGTGAATGACTGATTTTTAAGTGTAACAAAGAAGTGACAGCTATCATGTGAGATCTCGGTTGCGTATATATTTATAGTTGCACGCGATACATGAGTCAGCTGCTCGTCGCGAACCGAGAGCTCTACGAAAACGTCTGAAGAGACACGGCTGGCCACCCCTTAAATACGTAAACACACCCCCATGAGGCGTGTGTGTGTGTGTGTGTGTGTGCGTGCGTATGTAACGCTGATTCGGCAAAGCAGGGCTTCTACTGCACTTACATATTTATTGATCGACTCGCTCGCACATTCGAGTCACGCCGCTCTGCACGGGGCGATCCCCCACCCTCGCGCCTTCGCACCGACGAATGCTCTATAAAATAAGCGCTCTGCGCGATTCGAAATCGAAACGCGATTTTTCCGTACAATTTCATTTTTCGAATTTAAAAAGTCGAATCTATCGCGCTGATGAAACTTGCTGGATGTCAATGTCGATTTTGAAGTAACGAGTAATCCTCGTCCGAAACAATTATAGTTTTAACTGAGAAAAGATAATAGCTCACTACAGGCAGAAAAAAATTGACTATCACTACCTCGATTCTTTCGATGCTGAATCGCACATCCGACACCTCCCATAAACTCATCGAAATTCCGGAGCGCATTCGACACATTCGAAATTCACGCGCTTTCGTCGTATAGCAGACGATTTCTGTCAAAACAAATAATAGGCTCTCGACCGTGTGCAGTTATTGTCGACTCGACAATGTGTATCATTTGTGTCTGTTCAAAAGCCGGCATTTCATCAACTTGGCGATGAATCATCCACAGTTTTGAACTAATTAAATGCTATCATGGAGAAAGGTCGGCTTTACATTCTACAACTCAATGAGAATTTGGATTTTTAAATTTTATGTTGAACTTGATACTTCCAAAACATTCCTGTAAATCCTGCTTTTCATAAATGGAGTTCAAAAAAATGAAAAATATTCATAAACCAAAGAGTAAGTTTTGCAAACTATATTTTGTTTAGTTTGTACAGATACATCTTTTCATGATATCCTTTAATTCCAGAAAAAGAAAAAATATTCAGCGAATACGACCTTTTGAACCACATCATTTTCATTGGTACTTTGTCTGTATTACTCTTTCTGTATGGCTATTTTCCCACTGGTTACAATGAAACTACATGGGCTAGAGCTGGAGATATCCCAAAATATGTTGAACGCACAAGGTACAATGATCTTGTTTTAATATAAATTTACCTCTCTTGTTATAATCTTAAAATTGAATATTTCAGAATCAAACTCAATGAAATTTATGTTCCTATGATCAAGAAACTAGTGATAATGGTAATAGATGCTTTAAGATGGGATTTCGTAGACGGAGAAGAAAATAAAGATTATATGCCATTTACAAATAACCTTCTGAACAATGATTCAGGATGTTTATACAAAATGAAAGTCAATCCTCCTACAGTCACTATGCCGAGAATAAAAGTAATTTTATGATTTTATAGAAATTTGATCAAAAATATATTTTGTTTACTTTTCATTTCTAGGCAATGACAACAGGCACGGTGTCAAATTTTTTAGATATAGTGTTCAATCTGGGAGCTTCATCAGTTGGAATTGATAATATATTATGGCAAGCTAAAAAATATGGATATAAATCTATATTTTATGGCGATGACACATGGTTAAAACTTTTTCCCAATGAATTTTATCGCTCTGAAGGCACAACTTCTTTTTATGTTTCTGACTACACAGAAGTAGACAATAATGTAACAAGGAATCTTAATCGAGAACTCGATAAAATTGATTGGTCGATAATGATTTTACACTATTTAGGTCTTGATCACATTGGTCATACTGATGGTCCATTTAGCCCTTTAATTAAACCTAAGCTGAGAGAAATGGATGATATAATTAGTTTAATCCATGCTGATGTAGAACTTTGGGTAATTTTTTAATTATTTTTTATGAGATCAATTGCTATGATTATGATTAAATTAAAACAACATTTATTTTCATTCAGGAACAACAAGGAGATCCAACTTTATTTATTATATTAGGAGATCATGGTATGAAAGATTCAGGAGGTCATGGAGGAGCAAGTTTAGAAGAAACTACTGTGCCATTAATAGTATTTGGTAGATCATGTACACCAAAATATGAAGAAATTGATCAAATTGACCTTGCTCCTACTTTAGCATTATTATTAGGTGTGCCAATACCTTACTCTAGTTTGGGAAAAATTAATTTAGAAATGATGGATGAGATGTCTTACTCACAAAAATTATTCGCTCTTTATTACAATGCTCATCTATTGTTCCGAAAATTCCAAAAAAGACCTGGTTACCTTGAAACTAATGCATATAAAAACTATCAGAATGCTATGAAGCTTCATGAAGCATGGTTGACTACTCAAAGTTCTTCAAATGAAATGGTTGATGATATAATTGAAATGTACGAAGAAGCTATAATAGAAATAAAAGATGATCTCATGGGTAATCTTTTAAAGTATGATTTGCATTCTATGGTAACTGCTATGATTTTTTTGTGTAATGTGAGTAATTAATAAATTTTTTCTTTTTTCTAACGAGTAAAATAAGATTTAATAAATTATAATACAAAACAATTAAACAATACAATTTTTGATTTTCAGGTTCTATACATAAGCATATCTGAACAAAGTTCAGAGTCAATTTCAGCTGTGAAAATTTTTATTGCTTGTTTTGTAAACTACGCATTTTGGATATTATTGAATGGAGCATTTGGCTCAGAAGCTTATTCAATAATTTTCCTGCCAAATAGATTTGATGTCTATTCTTTATGCATTGCTATTGTGGGGTTTGGTACCTCAATATACAATTGTTATTTATGCGCTCATAGATTTTTACCTATTTCTAAGGTAAGTTTTTTTTTTTTGATTTTATTTTAACATAATAAAGTTATTTGTTTTTCTAGTTAAAGAATATGTCAAGTCTCGAATGTCTTCTGGCCATTGGTACACTTGGACATGCTCTAAGTTTAGCCAGCAGCAGTTTTGTAGAAGAAGAACATCAAACTTGGTATTTCTATTGGATCTCATTGATTGTGTACATTACTTTTAGACATTTCAAATTGATAGCTAAAAAGCATTATTTGAAATCATTTATGGCTTTATTATTGTTAATGATTACACATCGCATATTAAGAAAATTAAATAGTACTGGAGATAAGTATGCACATTTGCCTGACATTGCTGGATGGCTCAAAGAGCAGGATGACAACTTTTGGATGTCTATGATTCTTATTTCAGGTATTTATTTTTATTAAATAAATCTAATATATTTTATTCTTTAATTTCATAAAAAAATAAAAACTACATTTCACAGGGCTCGTTCTTCTGATTGTTATCGATGTTTCTTTTCAATTGAAACACCACAAAATGAGTGCTTTTATGTTTGATAGTGCAATTTCTATTCTAGTATACATTAGGCATGCAATTAATAGTTCTGTTATAAAACCTAGTCATAACTTTAGTTCTCAGTAAGTAATAAACTATTATTAATGCAAAATTATAATGATAATTGATTAAAATGTAAATTTTATTTGCAGAGGAATTACAGAAATGTATATTTTTTGGGGAGTAACTCTACTCTATTCTATGTATATGTTTCTGCGTGTTGTAAACGCTGCAAAAAGCAGTAAACAATTTTTTAATGTTGCAATGTTCTCAATCATTAAAATCTGGATTATAGTTTCATGTATCTTACACCGTCCATACAATGTTATTTTATTACCCGCACAAGTATTAGTCAGTATTATAATTCACGGTGTTACAAAAAATCAAGCAACTTTGAATGTCAAAATGTATTTTTACCTTTGGTCAAGTAATGCATTTTATTTTTATCAGGTAATAATAATAAAAATCATCTGCAAATTTATAATGATTGGAATATTGAACTTGTATTTTTTAAAGGGAAATTCAAATAGCTTAGCAACAATTGACGTGGCAGCTGGCTACGTTGGACTGAAATCGTACAACCCGATCTTGATCGGATTGTTTTTAATCATTAATACATATTCAGCGATAGTCTTAGGATTTTTACTATACATCTACGACTGTACTCTTCAAGCTCCCATCTCGTTAGTACATTGTGTTTTAGAAACAAATTAGTTTTCAATCGACTTCAATAATAAAAATATTTTTTGTTTCCAGTACTTCCACAACGATATTGGCTGCGTGTAGACGATACGCTTTCTGGAGGCTCGTACCGATGACTTTTTACACTTTCGTTACAAGCTTTCAACGCTACCACTTATTCGTATGGTCAGTGTTTTCACCAAAGCTGCTTTACGAATCTACTCACTGTGCTGTATTATTTGCTGTGATGTTTTTGCTACAAGCTGTCTTCTTATGCAACGATATAATAACGAAAAGAAAGAAAAATATTTCATAAATAAATTAAGCTTTTTACTGGCATCATTAAAAATTGGACTAATTATTATTTCTACATTTATCAAGGTAGTATTAAAAATGAACGATTTGTTTTTATGTAAAAATCCATATTTATATATTTATAATTTTTTAAAATATACATCAGTTAGTCTCTGAAAAAATTGATTGAATATTTTTATACAGTAAGTCTTCGTTATTAACATCAAAATGATACGCTTTCGAAACATTGTGTTCTTTTCGTCAATGCAAACAAGAAAGTACACAATTATTTTAATATTTAAATCAGCTATTTCATAAACAATCGTTCTCCTCTTTCGAAATTTGTTTAGTTTTAAAAATTATTTCATTTCACTAAAACGTAATAAAAATAAAAGTAAGTACAACATTTTTTGTACTAAGAGCATAAACAATTGTTTTTATTTATGCTTACAATATTTTTACAAAAATTTTAATATACTGCGCTTGTATTCCAGTACAGAGCGATACTATCAGTTTTTATACTGATTTCGTGGTGATTTTTCCGAAGATTATTGAAAGAAAAAATATGTTTTTCATTGATATATTATTTGAATTGACTAGCTGCATTGTTCAAGTACAGATTTATAGAAAAAAAGTGGATACAAAATATTTTGTATTCATAAAATATTCAAAATATTTTGTGGTACGGGTTTCCAATGGCTTGCAAGCTTCATTAACACACACATAATTACAAAGACATCAATTCTACAATATTAATCTATACAAAACATTTATGCAATATAATTTTAAACCATATTGATCCACCAGCAGTTAATCGATCAAGTTTTTACAATTGAATTTAAAATTATATCTAACAATTTCTCAAGTACATTGTGCATTAAATTTGTGCGTGTTTATAAACAGTTTAGAACATTTAGTAACGATTTTTTCCATGATATTTCATCGAAAATCGACGTAGAACTGATTTCCAACCATCGATGAACAACGTTACACGAAATATATTTAAAAGTTTTTTTTTTCAAAAATGACACATTGAAGAATAGTCAACATCGCAATTGATATGAATCAAACTAACTTCGAAATCTTAAGTCTTTTGTTAAGTATTATTCTAGTAATATTAAAAGCGGTGACATAACATTCCGGATTCATAATAGTATTAAGAAAATTGTTATTTCATGGAAATAATATTAATCATAAAAGCAGCAGCATTCGTTAAGCTCAAGAGTTCGTGAAACACATTTTTTTGGAAAAATATTTTTAATACTACTGTCCCATCAAGAATTTATAAGACAACGATTTAGAACGGCGAATTCATTCCCAGTTTCGTGGTGAATTCGAGCCGAGCTCTCTTTTGATATCTGACATTTAGCCTGTAAAAAAAATCCATAAATTCATTAGCAAATTATTTTAAATTGTAAAAAATGCTCGATCTTACTTGATTTCTTGGGCTTTGACGAATTCATTGATGAGAAGCACAATGGGCAGAGAGGCGAAAAAATAGAGCGGCAAGTGAAGTGGAAAACTTTTAGTTTTCGTATCGTCTTTCCAATTGTTGCATAGTACATTGCTCGAAAAGGCAATTTGCAACATTATTCTAAAAAATTGTGTACATTTCACTTAGTTCTTGATTTTAATTACGAAACCGAAAAATGGTAAATAATCATTCTTGTTGAACTCACACTACAACGGCAACTGTGAACCAGATCCAGTTGTTGAAAGGAAGCTTACGCCACAAAGAATACTCACGGTGAACAAAACCAACGGAAATCGTCACTGTAAAAACAATACACAACGGTAATTTTCTATACATAGCATAGTACAATTGTATAATATCGTACCAAAGTGCAAAACAACGATGACCAGAGCGATATGTTGGACGACCAGGAGAGTGTCGGGCTTGCTGGCCCATCCGGCCCAGGCCACGTCGGACGCAGTGACGTTCGGATAGACGTAGTAGCAGGGCAGCTCGGGCTTGGCGTAGGTCGCGCAGAGCGCGAACAGCGCGAGACACTGCCAGCCCAGCACCGTGACTATGGTCGGCAGGAACTTGAAGCCGTAGCACCAGAGCACGAAGGCCGCCACCTCCCAGGTGACGAGGCACTGGTTCTTGCCGGTGGCGCGCTGCATGATGCTGGGGTCGGTGGGCGTGCCCACCAGCGAGACGGCGAGCACGGGCACGATGACGCAGCCGAGCCAGAGCACGTGGCCGACGGTGAACAGCGGCGGCAGCAGCAGAAAGGCCGACAGGGCCTGGGCCAGGGCCAGGGTGAGCACGCAGCAGAGCCAGAACTGCACGCAGTTCCACAGGCACTTCATGTAGTGGCGAGCCTGCCAAAAAAAAAGAAGACGACGAGGGGTAAATAAATAGGACGCGATATAGCGATTGCGACCGAAAACCGTACCTCCATGATGAGGTGGTAAACGGCGATCGGGTCCTCGCGTTTGATGCTCAACGAGCAGGCCACGGAGTTGAGGGCGCGGCTCAGCTCGATGGGCGACGGCCCCTCCTCGGCTCGAGTCTCCGTGAACACAGCCACCCGTTGGCACACCTGTGGATACAGCGGCTCTACCGCTATTCTGCAATCAAAAACAAAACAATTCACGATACGCGAAATAGCAATCATAATACATATATACACGGAGTTGTCCCGCGTGCCTCGCGATCTTTTGTCAAAAGCCCGCCGCGCGCATTTGAGCTTTCGTCGTGCGATCGATCGAGAGAGTCGATCGAGAATCAGAAAAAAATCACCAACGCCAAGATGCCGACAAGGGGTAGCGGCGACTCGACGGTGCGCAGCAACGGCCATCACGACGCTACGACGACGACGACGACAGGAAAAGCTCGATCGACGATAGAAAAAAGCTCCAGCTCTGCGGCGGCAGGGGAAAAAGTCAAGGAGGTGCCGAGGCGCAGAATCAGGCCGCGCAGCAATCTAACCTGCGCGATCAACAAGCGTCGCTGCTGCTCGAGCAGGCCGCAGCGCCAGTTCGAGACCGTCTACATGGCGTCTTACAAGCGACCGTCGGGCAAGGGCGGCAACACTCACAGCAGCGGCAGCAACAGTTTCAACAGCACTCTGGATCGCTTTCGAAAGCTCAAGATCGGCGAGGACAGGCGCAACGGCGTCGACGCCGCCAAGTAGTAGCAGCAGCAGTGGTGCTGCTGCGATTGTGTTCAATTTTTGTCTAAATTTTCTCGTTCGTTGTCTTACCTCCGTGCGTGCGTATGCGCGTTATGCTAAATTTTCCAGTCTCAAAGTTACTCGTGTATTTATTATGTAGCGAAGAAAAAAAAATTAAAATCAAAGCAAATACAGGAATTCAGTTATTTTTATTTATTTCCTTTGTCAAATTCGTCCATGAATAATGAGATATCTATCAAGAGTCTTACATTCAATACAAAGTACACAAAGATTCATGATTTTTTCGTAACCATTTTAAACAGTTTAAAATTGTTTCGTTATTCGAAATAATATGTCAAGAAAAGAGTAAAATAGTCCTTGTTCACAAGCAGCTCGACGATCGCGTCGCGGCAGAGAATGGGCAGCCGGCCCAGGAGCTTCTCCCAGATGGGCAGAAGCGCCCACGTACGGAAAAATCCTCTCAGCATCACCTCGCACAGATATTCGGATAAGAGCTCGTAGCACTCGTCGCTGGGGTGCAGATCGTAATCGTTTCTGCGCGCGAACTCGAGGTACTCCTCGTAGGCGAGCAACGTTGTCGCCTTCTCGGGCCGCGACTGGATCAAGTCGTACAGCGACACTTTCGAAGTCATCGGCACTTCTTTCGCCCATTCCTGGAAATACTTGCAGTACCACCACCTGTGAAGATCCGCCGACTTCTTTAAGCATCCGCACTCGTCGAGCACCGTCATGATCGTTCGAACGTCGCTCGGCTTCAGCTCGTATCCTTTTTTCTCCAAACGCTCGACGATGACCATCAGTCCGGACGCTAGTTTCAATTTCGGAAAAATGCTGATTTTATCCATCAGCGGTTTCCACGTCTCGACGAAGTGACTCGCGGTCGGAAAAACGAACGCAGATAAATCGGCGCCGTGTTCCAGGAGTATATCGACGGTAGGCGGCACGCAATTTGCCACGGCTATTTGCAGCGGTGTTCGGCCTTTCTTGTCCGGGGCATCGATCTGTATCAGTTGATTGGCTCTTCTGTCGATCTCGAAAAAAAGCTGTACCAGGTCCAACGAGCTATAATAGTTTCTCTGGCAAACGATGTGTACGGGTGTCAAGCCATCCTCGTTGGCACAGTTTGGATTGGCGCCTAGCTTCAGCAGCAGCTTGGTTATCTTTCGATTTTTGCTCCACAGCGCCAGATGCAGCGGTGTTCGGCCCCCCTGGTCTTGAGCATCGATATGCACCAGCTGATTTGTTTCGTCAAGGATTTTAAAGAACGACATTATTAGGTCACAATCTTCGTAAACGTATAAGTCATCTTCGTCATTGATACTATCGTCGTAATCGAACTCTTCGGCCCATTTTCCCGCGCAGATGATGTGCAAAGGCGTCCATCCTCGCTCGTTGGCCAAATTGGGATTCGCGCCCATTCTCAGCAGCATTTCCACAGTCATCCTCCAACTCTTGCCGAGAGCCAAGTGTAGCGGCGCGTTACCTTTTTTATCCCCAACATCGACTTGCAACGTTTTACGTTCGTCGTGGCAATACTTGAATAGCAGCATCGCGTCGTAATCGTCGTTGTCTCTTTCGCAAATAACGTGCAGACAATTAGATCCTTGTTTGTTGATCAAGTTCGGGTCGGCGCCGCCTTTCAGCAGCGATTTGACCACGACAGGAGCATTATTTTCCAGGGCCAGGTGTAGCGGCGTTTCGCCCGTCTCTTGCCAGATGCCATTGGGATCCTGGCCGAGCTCGAGAAATTTCTGGACAGTGGCATGACAAAAGCCCAGGCTGGCTACGTGCAAATGCGTTAATCCATCCTCGTAGGTGTAATTCGCGTCGACGTCGTATATTTGTAATAGATCGTGGACGAACCAGAACTCACGGCTTCTAGCCACATGATGCATCGCCGTGGTGCAACGCAAAAGTGGCTTACCGTCTTTGTCGAGGTCGGGCTTGTCCTTGTAACCGCTGCGAATCACAAAATTGATGAATGGGCGTTTTATTGTATTATCCTCCCCATCCCTGAGCGTCACGGACTCGATCAGTAGCGAATCTATTTCTTCCTTCGAGAAGATGTCTCGGAGATTTGGAAGTTGGCCCTTCCAATCGCTGGTTAAGTCGTAAAGTTGCCGGAGAAAATCAAGTCGCTCTTTTTCGATCTCCAAATTAACCTTTGAGCGCAAACTTTTCAATTTTTCTAAATTATCGTTCATTTCGTTAACTTCACAAAACCTTTTAGCAGATTTATCGTTGAACGAGGACATTGTATTATTACCCGCACTCGCACACACCAAACAGATCGATTACAATTGCAGATATTTTTCACTTATTTCCCGAGATTCATTTGCTGCAGGCAGGATGCGATATTTATTTTTTAACACTGCAGCGTTGTAGCTCGAATTTTATCGCTCAAAAATGAAATAGTTTTTTACTTATAATTTCGCGAGAATCAATCGCCACAGCCAACGCGATACTTCTATGTTAACGCTGCGGCGTCGTAACATGGACTGAGTCGATGTGTAAAGAGCGTAAAAAAGTATGCGAAGATAAGCCACCTCCAGAAAGTAAAAAGGAGCTCGTGTTCCGTATGTATGTGTCGTTTGATTGGGTCCCGAGTCAACAAGCATAGCCCAAGAGGGGCAAGTCACGGCGCGAGAGAGACTAAACACGAAGCTACAATCTACATAGACGTCACAAAGGCATAGTCTTAAGGCTCATTTTTCTCACAGGCTATAAAAATTAATACCGACATGTACACTTCACGTAAGACGAACGAATATAAAATTCAATTCTCTCGTTATCCGGCGGGCAAGATTCTTACGGGATCATTCCGATTGATACTTGATGTTTAAATATTTTTATATATGTCTAATGCTATCTAGAATCGAATAATAAACGTAAAGTTATTTTAAAAAACGTTAACAATGCAGAACAAGCAAGTAAGGCAAACTCTCAATACTCATTTCTCGATCTCCGGTTAATATCTTTCTGCAAAGTTCTCATGTTCGCCGACTCGTTTTCGTGGAACTCTTCCAACTCAAGGCGCGTTGTGCTTCGAAAAGTAAACGAAAAAGATTTCGCGAACCATATAAACTGTACCGTCAAACGAAAAAAGCTCCTCCGAAATTTCAAGCACGACCCGAAGCGCAAAGCCAAGCTAAGCAGCATACATTTTAAAATTATTGTTAGAGTATTAGAATTATGCATTTTTTCATTTCAACGTTAATTGTACCTTTTTTATGTAGTTTTATGTAGTGAAAAAAATATCAAAATCAAAGTTAATTAATGAGTTCAGTTATTTTTATTCATTTCCATTGTAACACTCATTGTTAAACAATGCGTTGCCATAATACAAAGTAATCACTTTTTATACATTAACATATGTATTGAAGTATACGATTTTATACTTGGGACTTTTTTGGAGTTGGAACTATTTTGAACAGTTAACAATTTTTTGTTTATTAGAAAATCAATGAGCAATCAAGAGCTTTATGTTAGTCCATAATCGCCAAGCCAATATGGCATATATCTTTGTTGGTAAGCTGCTCGATGATCATTTCACAGCACGGAATCGGCAGTCGGTAGTGCGTCAGCTCCAAAAAAAATTCCAGTGCCCAGCTCCGGAAAAAACCTCTCGACATTATCTCACACAGATATTCGGCACAAGGCTCACAGGCACCATCGGGGCCCAAACCATAATCCATATCGCGCGAAAACTCGTAGTAATCCGAATAAGTCAGCCTTTTTTCCGCCTCTTCGAGTCGTAAAGAAATCAAGTCGTAAAGTGACAGACCCGGAATTATCCATATATCGTTTGTTTCTTCCTTGAAAAGTTCATGATCATACCACCATTTATGAAGATTCGACGACTTCTCGAACAATCTGTGCTCAGCGAAAAATTTTATGATCGTCCGAACGTCGCTTCGTTCCAGCTCGTATCCTCTTTTTTCTAAGCGCTCGACGACCAACAGAGCGCCAGACGCTTGTTTCACTTTAACATTGAGCCAATCCACGCGCTCCTGCGGTTCGAATCTCTCTCCGAAATGACTTGCAGTGGGAAAAACGAAACTAGATAGATCAGCGCCACGATTCAACAGCACATTGAGATTGTTCGGCATGCAATTTGCTACGGCCAATTGCAGCGGTGTCCGGCCCAAGTTGTCCCTGACGTCGACCTGCACCAGTCGATGCTGTTCGTCGTTGACCTTGAAGAATAGCTCCGCCATTTCATCGATCTCGTCCTTCTTGCATATAATGTGCAGGGGAGTCGATCCTTCCGCGTTGGCGAGATTTGGATCCACGCCGTTTTTCAGTAGCGACTCGGCTATGTTCTTCAAGCCGCATTCCAGCGCCATGTGCAGCGGCGTCCGACCCAAGTTATCTTGGGCATCGACCTGCACCGTCTGCTTGATGTCGTTGATGGTACTGAAGAATATATTCGCCAAGTCGTTGTCGAAATACACGTCGTTCCAGCAAATAACGTGCAGAGCAGTAAATCCTTTCTTGTTGGCCAAATTCGGATTGGCACCGTTTCTCAGCAGCAATTTAGCCGCCTCTTCTTGGTGGTATCTCAGAGCCAAGTGTAGCGGCGTATCACCTGTTTCTTCCACCAAGAGATTTGGATCATGCCCGTGTACAAGGAAGGACTCGACGGCCTCGTCACAGTCAAATTGACAGGCGACGTGAAGATGCGTCAAGCCAGACTCGTCGGTGTAATTAACGTCGAACCTGTCGTATATGCGGAACAGACCCGATACCAATTGTTCGTTGTCGTCATCGTCGAGGCAATAAGGCAAATGTTTAGACGCATGATGCAATGGTGTGGTGCGACGCGGCGATGGCCTGCCGTCCGCACCAACGACGGCCTCGTCCTTGTAGCCGCTGTTAACCACGATCCCAATGAATGATTGACCATCATTCTTGTTACTCGATAATTTTATGGCATCCAAAAGAAGACGCTCGATTTCTTCGGGAAGAAAAACGTCTCGGAGATTTGGCATTCGGTCGCGAAAACGTAAAGTTATGATAAAAAAGTTACAAACAAATTTGCATCTTTCTTCTTCGGCCTCCCAATTAATCTTCAAACGCCAACTTTTCAATTGTTCTAAATTTTCGTCGACTTTCTTCTCGGGATCGCCTCCACCACGGGAACTTTCCGCAGATTCGTCGTTGAACGAGGACATTGTTTTATGCGCACTCACACTCACACACACCAAACACAATCGATTACAATTGAAGATATTTTTCACTTATTTCACGAGAATCACTTGATAAGGTAGATGCGATGTTTCTTTGTTCACGCTGTGACGTTGTAACGAGGAATGCAGCCAGCAGATATTCGAAGGTATGTCTATTGTTCACGTAAGCGAGCACTGCGTCATGGGGGCGCGTAAAACAGGATTGCAACTGTTAAAAAAAAAAAAAAACTCGTCCGATTGAACTGAGACAGGTTCGGATTTCTTTTCATAATATTTGTCGCAGTTGTAAACCTGATTTATGAGATCACGCGTTATTGGCTACGCGAGAGAGACAGAAGAGTTACACACAGCTGCCGCATAGACTTTGCAAACTACAAAGGCACTCGAAGATCAGAAAAAAAAATAAGAAACTACAAAGATATGATGAGCGCTGAGACAGATGTCGCGTATTCTTTTACACTGCGCAACAAAATTAACGCAATAAAAATTTTCATCGAAATTTTGTAAATTTTCAAATGCTTTTATCTTCGTCTATTTTCATAGTATCGAGATGAATTTTTTATTGGTAACTCGATAATCACTCGAACCCATTTATAGAAGGAAAAATGTCCAAGAAATCAAAAAAAAATTCGTCTCGATGCGATCGTAATATACGAAGACAGAAGCATTTGAAAACTAAAAAAATTTCGATGAAAAATTTTATTGCGACAATTTTGTTGCCCAGAGTATCTTATAAGCGCTGGCTAATCGCAGCGCGCGAAAGATTTTGCGGAATTATCGCGCTATCTCGCCTAATTTTTCGCGAGAAATACCAAAACACACGCAACGCTGTTATTTCATATATTATTATTATCGTAAAAAAAAAGTCGAAAATGCAATTTATAAAGCAACACGTACGCTGCGTCGGCCTGCATGAAGATCGGCATGTTCTCGGCGTTGGCCGCGGAGCCGAGCACGCAGACGACCTCGCCGTAGTCCTGCATGATGTGCAGCATCTCGCGCGTGACCGCCGTCGTGCAGTCCGTGAAGAGGGAGACGAGCAGCGGCACGTTGTCGATCAGCTCGATGTGCGGCCTGATCTTGTCGATGCCGCGCGGCAGCTTGGCCCGATTCGACAGGTCGAAGTTGACCGGGGCGCTCTGCTCGGTGCTGTCGGTCAGGCAGCTCAGCGAGCGCCAGTTGTCCTGGCCCGAGGCGAGATCGATGCTCTGGATCAGCACGCTATCCTCGGTCGCCTGCTGCTGCTGCTGCTCCGTTTCTCTGTAAAATGGCAACATGATGTTTTTTGTTATTTGTTTCTCTTTAGTTTATTAAATTCGAGTCTCTCGTAATGAATTTTTGCTCGTGCTATGTGTGGCAACTTATGGTTTTTGTAGGCGTGAATTATGGTCACCGATTTTATTCAGTTCTGCACTCTTTTATAATAATAAATAATCACTGTCACAACGTGACCATTCCTTTGTCGGTGGTACCATACACCTTTATCGATTCTACAAGTGTGTAAGCTAGTCAACTATTAAGCAACGAATACTCCACAATTTACGAATTTTATCCTAAAATTACGTTTACAATAAAGAAACAATGATAGATCGTTACAGTTTGATTCGCGCGGACTCGGCGGCGACGTCCCCTTGCTCGTAGTTACTCACGCTGGACGATAAATATAAATCGCACAAAAAAGCGACGCAACATTAGTTTTTATTTTATTTTATTCATTCACCAAAAATCGGTCTGCGCCTCTCTCATTCTCTCACCTGTGGCTTATTGAATTTTTCGACTGTTTCGCGTCGGCACTATTCCACTCGTTGGGTTGGACGGAGGCAGCGGCGACGGCGGCCGTTTCGTCGGAATCCGACGTCATCACATTGACGGCCGTCTCGTCCTCGAATCTCACACTGCTGGTCACGTGCTCGCTGTTGATGGCGCACGGCGCCGACATGCTCATCTGCCGGCTGTTGTCCAGATTCGAGCTATCGATCGTACGAATTGAAATAAAATTTAGTGCATAAAACCGATTAAACCGATCGTTTTGTGGGTAATATTTGGATATTTCTACTGTGGTATAATTATATAAAAAAAGTTGTACTGGAGTCTCATATCGGATGCAACGGTGTTTATCGGCCATTCCCGATTTTCTACTGCAAATATATCAATGCGCTATGAAAATAAATAACTACATTATTATCACCATTGAAGCTGATTGAAATGCGTCACATGCTTTTGCAAAGTATACCAAAAATTATCATTCAAAATGAATTAGTTAGTTAGTGTGTACAATTTTAATATAGTGATTCATCTCGTCGATAATTCTAAGAGATCTATCCTGCATCGTATCGACTATAATCGAATGATCTGTGTTGGTTTCATCGTGCGCTGAACGATCCAAGCCTACACACGCTATATAAAAGACTACTAAAGGAAAGATAAGAAAAGAGAGAAAAAAATAGATAAAGAGAAAGAGGAGAGAGAGATATAGAAACATACCGAAGCGAAAAACGCTTAAGCCGAAGATTCGCCTCAACATGATGAACCGAATGCATCATTTGCAATTCGGCGCGTCTTTTATTAAGGCTACGTCGGTGTCCTCCACGAGAGGATATCGCCGGTGACGAGGAAGCCAACCACTTCACCACTGGGCTGTCCATCCTGTTAGTCGTTAATTATAGAAAACAACAACAAAAAAATCACACCAATAACACCGAACCGAAAATAACACATGCTCGTGAACGAAGAAAAAAATTAATGAGTCCGTGTAAAATGTTCGATGTATGTTAGTCGACGCTTGTATTATTTCATGTTATGATAAGCTCATTTAAAAACTATATGTAAATCAAATGTCCGTTTTCGTTTTAGCAAAGCTTCACACTGAGATTAATTTTATAACTATTGAAATAACGTAAATATATATATAGACAAACATATATGATGAGGCCAAGTGTGGAAATAGTTTGAGCAACTGTAGCCTCCTGCACAAATATTACACAGCTTTACTGTTTTATCGTGTAAAAAATTAATATAAGCGACATTAATATATGTTTCGTATTAATTAACAGAAAAAACATGAGAAAATAATTAAAATCCTTAGCTCTTCCTTACATCTACTGTGAACGGTTAAAAATAATTATGAACTCTTTGTAAATGTGTCAATCAACATTATGACATTTATAAAACACCATGTAGATAGCGACATCAAAAGCTCACCAACTTTTTTTGCTTTCGTTTTTATCGGTAATCGAGCTTCAACTTGTGTGTGCATTTGTGTGTGTGTATGTGAGTGTCAAAATTAAGTAAATACTTATTTTTATGCGTGCTGTATTTACCTGGCTCGCTCGCTGAGCAACGAGATGTGACAATTCCAGCCGCTCTCGAGGCCCATCTTCTCGGAAAACACTCGGGATCTCAGCTCGTTCTCCTTACTGAAGTGCACGAATCTTATGCAAGCCCTTTCCAATTGCTCGATCAAAGTCACCTGAATACATGACGCACGACGAGGGGGGAACAACAATCTTAATTACTTTCCGCGCGTCAATCGGAAATCAGCCAAAAATTCATACCATATCGGTTTGAGCTTGATATTGCATCGTGACCATACCAATGAAAATCTGATTGCACTGGAGCTCGAAGCAGCCCTCGACGCTGCTCACCTCGTCCTCTTTGGCCTCGCTGCAGAGCAACGAGTCCGTCGAGTGAAATTGGCCCAACAGGCCCTTGATCCTGGGATCGAGAACATTGCGAAAGTCCCAGGGCAGCGGGGTCGGGCTGCGATACGGAGTAAAGAGATGCTTGCTCTCGGTCGGCAACTCCAGGTAGACGTTGGACAGGTGACTGCTGACGCTGCGCGTCAGAGGACGATAGGCGAACGCCGTGCAGTAGGACGTCAGACTCATGCGATTGTAAAAGTCTTGGACTTTTTTCCTGTAACAAAGATTACATATTTTTTTCATCGATTTTTATCATTGTTGTATCAGTCGAACTTACTTTTCGGATTCGGTCAGCGGGCACAAGTCGTGTCCGTCCCAGAATTCGATGCAGGAATCGAGAATGATATCGGCAGTGCCCTGGGTGAGTAGCTGCAAGCCTCCTCCGTTCTTTTCTCTCACTACCACGGCGACCATGTGCGGAAATGGAAATTTTAGCTTGGTCGAGATGCTCAACGAACGAGCGAATTTCATATCTCTTACGCGAGCTGTCTCTGGCTGTATGAAAAATTACAAAATTTTAGATAACAAATTAAATGTAGAGTCAATTCTTCATGGAAGAAAATTCATTCGTACCACATGGCGAAAAGTAGAAAGCTGCTGTTCCAAATGGAAGATTTCTTTGGCTTGATCTTTGAAACCGATTTGTTTGGCTAGCTCGCACAGACACCTAAAAAATAGTCCACTCGACATTAATTTGAAGAATTAAAAATATGAATTCAAAAGTTACTGAAGCGTCATCAAAGTTACAGAGATTTACATAGATTGAAAATTAATTATTATGCACAAAGATCGAACACTTAAATACATTTCACAAAATGTACAAGGATTTAAAAAAATAATACCCATCACCAGAGAACCTAGAACTGATTATTACTCAAGAAAATAAAATAGTTGATTAACTATATCAAAAGATTAAATATGTACAGAGGTCGACATGTTAGAGGAAAGAAAAATAGACGGCAGCGAAAGGCAACACAATAGAGTAGCTGCCATCCGTGTAAAGAGTATACAAGAGAAATGTCAATTTGGACGTGTATATCGTTTGGTTCTTTTTGGTTTTTTTTGTGTTATCACTGACCACATTTGTTCAACATATCCGGTTTCATCGACGAAATACTGTCCACCGCAATTGTTACTGCTGTGCTGGTTTTGCTGATCGTGGTGGCAGTAGTGGGACGAGGTCGCTCGGCTGCTGCTGGTGCAGCTACTCTCTCGCTCTAACCAGCTGATCGACGGTCATTTATTTGACGCTCTGTTAGTTTTAGTTATATCCTTACACGTACGAAGTTTTTTTTGACTTATCGTAATGAGTTACCGATTTTCGCCGAGTGTATGATTTCGTGTCGTTATGTTTTAGATGTTATAATATGTATTGAGTTGAATTTAAGGTATTGTTGTTGCAAAAAGTTGAATTAAAACAAATATAAAATCAACATGAAAAATCCTTTAGGTATTTGAATGCAAAAAAATGTCATCATTAAATAACATTTGACAATTCAAAATCCATTTCAAAGAACATACGAAAGCTTGGTTTTTATAATTGAATTATTGATCTAGCAATCAATAAATATGTATTATAAAATATTTTTCAAAGCTGTGATAGGAATGAAATCTCAATTATTTCATCTATCTATCATCTATTTAAACTATCATGAAAATTGATTTACGACTGTAAACTATACGAAATTAAATAATATTTTCATAAGCTCGTTAAGTTTTTAAAAATTCTAAAACATGTGTTAATGGTTAAAAAAAACCAACAGCATGCTCGAAAAATTCCAATAAAATATTCATCATCTCAATATAAAAAAGCCAAACTATTGAATTAAATCATGTAAGTTAAACACCGTCAGTCAAAAAACTTGAGCAAAGAATTTGAGCATTATAGTATCAAGCGTAAATCATTACCGTCTATTGGTTACAGGAACGAGATTTTCATTGTGGAAAGCTTCGCAAGTAACGTGACAACAGAAACGGGCGTAATGCTCCTGCGTCTCCATGTTGCAAGTATTGAGCAAAATTGCCAAACCCAATGGCTTAAGAGAGTTTAGATGTTGCCTCCAGGCCTGATCGTCGAATTGTAATTTGAAGGGCAAAGCCCGATCGTGAGTGAGATCCAATACTTCCGCTACGACGTGCGTTCCATCTGGCATATCAAATACGACGATGAAAATCAGTAAATTTTCTTCTCAAAACATTCGAAAAATGATCGTTTACCGTTCTGATGCTGAGTCGAAGATTTGTTCGTTTGTTCTTGTTTAGCGCTATTGTCATTTGGATGATTGGGCTCAGTAGACTTGTTAATGCTGGTCATGCTGTGAATCAATGAAAATCACTTTTAAATCAAAATGACTAAAAACGGCGATAAAAAATAATACCTTGAAGTATGCGATACCGTTTCTTTCAGATTTGCGTTAGAGCTCGTATTGGCAGCAGCGTTGGCGTTGTGAAGAAAAAAAACTTTTTCAGCCGTGGGATTTGGCCAAGACAATATACCTTTTTTATCGACGCAACACAAAGCCTGTGATTATAAAAAATTTATTAAAATTCAATATCATCCGATTTTTTAAAGTTAAACTTTCAAATAACCATGAAAACTTACCGTTACGGATCCCAAAACATGTAAAATATTAGCAGATCTAGTCATCATATGTTCTTTACCAAACATTATGGCACAAAAATAACGAGATAATTCAGTCCAGTTGTAAACAACATCTGGTTGACTATGATCTGTTCCTTCTTCAAACGGATCTAAAAACTGAAAAATTCTTTCATAGTTTTTTATGTTTACAATAAAATTTTATACATGTGAAAGTTATATATACTTGATTTTTTTTCGACGATTGATAGAGCTTAAATAAAGCTTTGAATCTAGCCATGCCGAAACAATTTAAAATAATCCACCATATTGGGAAAGCTATTGGCAACAATGGCAATGTAACAGTTACTGGTTGTAATAAAAATAATTCTGTCCAATGTCCAATTCCAACATACTCATACAAGTATAAGTACCTCAATAAATTGAATATAAGTATCAAAATGAGTAATATTGGATAAACTAATTGTTCAATACAACAAATCACAACAAGATGTCTTTCACGGTTGAAACAAGTAACTGGCCTATCTAAAGCTTGATCCAAAGCTAATCTTAAACTAGTTAAGTACGGCGTTTCTTGAAGTTTATATCGTTGATTGCGCAAAGGTACTCTTGGTTGAGGCGATGAAAAAACATCACCTGTAGGTAGAGGAGGTGAATATATTTCATGTGCATGTAATACTGGACCATCAGAGTCCTGAAAAATAAGATTATGGTTAAGCACTTTACACTCATTTCATTATCAATACTCACTTCAAATGGTGTACAATATCCAGGGGCTTGTTGACCTGGTCTTATCACAATTATGTCACCAGCAACTAGAAGTGCCCAAGGAAGATTTACCATTTGACCATCTCTGTATGTATATTGAAGCGTAATACAGGGGGATAAGGGGCTATACAAGTGAGGGTAGTGTTCCAGCTTCCAATAACATATTGATTTTGCAACTGAAATAATTAATTAATAATTATTGAGTTTTAAGCTAATTCTATTGGAAAATAAGGACGTACCTTCTATTTGTTGAGCTACATGTTTTACTCTGCTTAAAATTTCAAGGTGTCGAAACCGATTGTCAGTGATGACCAATATAGAATTAAATATAACTAGAATAAATAAAATGTTTCCTTCATAAGGCCAAGTTGTTAATCTGAAAAAAAGAATAGATTAATTATTTCCGAGCATCGAGTAGGTAAATAAAATTAATCAAACTCACTCTGATTCTGGAGCAGTAAAATAAGAAACAATCAACATTGCGGCACTAATGAGAAGAGCAGCAGCGGATGTCCAACAAAATGTTGTATACTGACTCTTATGATGCAAGGCATCTTTCAACCAATCTTTGTACTTTCTGCAAACAAGATAAGCATGAACAATAAATATCAATGAAAGATAAGCACAATAGAAATACACTAATGGACCAACTTGTTTTTTTTGCACTCCTTCTCGTACTCGTCGATTATCCTTCTGATATCCCTCTGCAGGATATCCAGAGCCTCCGCCGTATTGAAGCCCAAGTTCTCGTACTTGGGCTTCTTTTTCTTGTCATCCTTCTTATCTACTCTGTCACCCTGGCCAGCCTCCATGATGATTCTATATAGAAACAAACGAAATTCTCTCTTCTGTCAAAAAAGCTCCACTCTACGTACATAAGCTCTCTCCGCGCGTCAACCCTCCTCTCTCTCTCACCTCTAGCTTCGGTCGCTCGTCGCTGCCATGAATAATCCAGCATACGCGTAGTTTCGAGTCTCGCGGGTCCAACGAGAGATCCGAGACTGGGCGAGCAGTCGAGCTCATCTAAGGCAGCGGATGATGCAGCATCGCTGGGGACGAAAATTCACCCAGGGTTCATTCAATCACGTAATCGCGAAAACACTGGGCAATCATTGAGATTTACCCTTTTTTATCTTGGTCGAATGATCTGAAAAGTTCTCGCACTCGCGGCGTATACGTTGTGATAACCGATAAAACGGGAGCTTGCAAGTTACTGTCTACGTTACGCTGGTCGTTGCATTCTAAACAACGCTCGCGACGTGAAATAACATTGGGAATACGGTGGAGAAAATCGATGTGCTGCTTGCTGCTGGTGTGCCAGCTATACTGCTGCCGAGCTGCTTATACCTTTTACCCCACTGAATAGTCGTCGTCTTTGTGGGTGTGTGTGTGTGCGTGTGTAGCGAGCAACAGCAGGCAGTAAGTAGGTATATATAGACACCAGCCAGTAAGAGATAGCGAGATATGGCATGTGTGTGCACTTTAATATCTATAGGTATGTAACACACACACACCGAGCGCAATTCGTGCGCAGATATGCGCGGAGCAGTAGACACAAAACTGCTGTTCGTTGAATACTCTCGGGGTGCCTGTACTATATATACTGCCTTGCGCGCTCGTGCGAGCTCAAGCAGAAGACAAATTCGCAGCGCGCCGAAGATTCAACAGGTATAGCTATACATATAGCACAGAACATTGGGAAAAAACGGCGCACTCTCTACACAGGAAACTAGGTACATATGTATATAGGGAAGGCGCGTTCGTGCGCGAACAGTGAATCGCGATTCGCGAATCTAAATTTTCAGCAGTAGTACTGCTAAAAACGCTGGTCTTAGCCGTCATGTACACGGGACTCGTAATAGGTGTACAACACATACGCGTACTCGAGCGCGTGTTTACATTTCGTACTCTCAAATATTCGAGAGCTCGCGAGAGAAGAAATATTTATTCTCGTATAGTACACTTGGCGCGTTGAACGCCGCATATATATATATATATATATGACCAAGTCGTTGTCGAGCTGCGCTGATTGTCGAATGCCGAACGCTGTATGGCATGCACGCGCGTATTATAAGCGAAGGTAACGCGCGCGCAGCTATGCTAAATGTGTAAAAAGCTCGAAATAAAATAACGTCGTCGTGGTCGCGTGCGCAGGCTTTTAATAATACATCATTCGTGCAATAACTATATACGTCGAGTGCGTTTATCGTGGCCTTTCGAGCGCGTAAAAAGATTCCGCGGATTCGCGTCGCGAGAATTTCGCGGGCGTACGTACATATGTAATATTGGCAATTCTTACCTGGGGCACACGCGCACGTGTTTATAAAGTATTATATCATGAGGTGTCGAAACGTAGAGACGCGGCGAGCTTGCAGCCAAATTACGTAAATGCCAAATTACGCGTTCGATTTAGAAAATGATCATTAAAACTTGAAACGAGTAAAAAAAATGCTCCTTTTTTATTAATCAACGCGTTGAATCGATTGAAACAAAATCAAATTAATGAACGCATCCTTGGCGAGATGCGCGCACGAACAAGAACGTATATACATCGATCATCGATCATTTTGAGTCAGAAACTCGAACAGCAGCGACAACAGCCGTCGCTTGCTCGTCCTCGAGGCTCGCCGCAACAGCCTCCTGTACCTCGGCACGAAATTGCGCGAGTGGCTCAGTAGCCTGTTGGCCTCGTCCAAGGACGCGTCGTCGTCCTCGCGGAGCCTTTCGGCGGGTATCGCGGCGGCGGCGGCGGCGGCGCCGTTGTTGTCGTCTTGGGCCGCCATCAACACGGGCAGCCGCACCCTCGGCTCTCTCAGCTCCTCGGGTTCCCGATCGTATGGTCGTCTGCGCCCCCGCCGGCCCACCATCGTAATTCGGCTGCTTCCGGCGTTCCGAAACATTTCGTCGTACGGATGATGCATCGGACGGTCCGGATACAGCTCCGAGCTGACTCGATCGTTGTCGTCGCTGACGCGTTCCTGTACAGCTGCTGTGGGAACTATCGCCGCCTCGTTCGTACCGTCATCGTCGTTGCAGCTCTTAAGCGAAACCAACGACTGTTGATCATCGGGCACGGGCACCATGGGTAATTGGCTGCGCGCTGCGTCTTCGGGGTCGCACTCTCCGATGTTGATCGTCGAGTCGCTCGACGCCTGATCTACGCCGTGGAAGCCGATCGCGGCTTTCTGCGGGTCCGGCTGGCTCGGCTCGCGTCGGACCCGTAAATCCTGCGCTACGTCCAAGTCGCGGCGCAGCCCAGCCCTGTACGGCTGGCCGAGATAATCCACGCGGAAGTCGACGTTGCTCCGCAGCTCGTCCACGCAATCCGCGCAGTTGCAATCCGCGCTCGGCCGTCGATGCTGCGGCTGGCGTATCAGCTGCAGCATCGTTTCCATCTCCTCCTCGTCTCGCCGATCCCGCAACATCTGCAGCTGCTGTTGCTTCGTGTCTTCGAGTTGTTGTCGCTGCCGCTCCAGCATCGTCCGCAGCTGCCCATGATGTTGCTGCTGCAACGCGTCGACCTGCTGCTCTTGTTCCCGCTGCCGCTGCCGATGATCGTCCTCCAGCACGAACGACCGGCGCTCCTCCTCGTGATGCCTCAGCATCAGCTGCATCATCAGCAAGTTCTGCGTCATCGTCAGCTGTTTCTCTTGCAGGCCGTGCAGACATCTCAGCTCGTCCAGATGCATCCGCTGCAGCGCTTCCAGCTGCTGCTGCCGACATCGCCGGCCCAGCCGATGCTGCCGTTGCCTGGCCTCGAGCTCACGCACCTGACGCTCGTGGCCCGCTCGCAGCTCCTCGAATTCGCGACGGTACTGCTGCTCCACCTCGTGTTGCGGCTGTTGCAGCCGTTGCAGCTGACGCTCGTACCAGGCTCGCGTCTCTTCCGCGTCTCGACGATGCTTCTGCTCCATTGTGCCGCGCGGATTTTCCACTTTATTCTTCTGATCGACGTTCGTCGGCAATGCCGTTTTCAGCTCGATGTATTTTATTTGCTTAAAAAAAATACAACACCCCAACGAAATGGCTTGATATGTCACATTAACCGACTCGGTTGACTCTGCGCGACGGACTACTCGTGATTGTTGATGATTATGTCGATTCTACGCGATCGATTACAGCGCCGACATTATAAACATTTAAACCGGTAACTATTCGAATGTTATTGATCGATTCTTATAGTTTCGACAAATTACATATTTTCAATTTTGAAAGGTCAAGTAACTTGTTTCCGAAGCCCTTGATTCTTCAATTCTCCAATTAAATCTCGATTTCTCGCCCACTGTCGTTCGTCGCCCATATAGATCGTTGTCCGACTTGGCCTTTGTAACACTCGCACGGTAGTCTCTCCTATAGCTGTTGTCCCTTATCTGCAAGCAGTACTCATCATCGTCGTCGTCGTCAACAGATCTCTCTATCGGTAGAAATATGGGCTGTGGTGACTCGTTTCGGGCTCTCTATTTTCCCGGTTTAGGCCTGAATTCCATTTGTCATATATTGAATCCTCAGCTTCGCCTCGGCAGCCTATAAAAATCTAGACTAGCAAAGTAAAGTTGTACAATATTTTTTTCCTCGTTTGCCTTCGTCTCGTGCTGTAACCCCTCGTTTGGCAGAAAAAGCTAATTCATATCCGTTCAATAAAAGACATTTTTGTGCGAGTTGTCTCTCAACTCGGTAATTTTCGGCGACGCATTTACGCCATTTCCATTTATGTATAACTTGGCAACCTCGTCGTGGAACTTCTAGCACCGGTTCTGGACAATTCCTGACTCTTAGGCGACGCGGATTATTCGATTGAATCTCGGAGTGTAGGGCGAGCCTTGCCGCATCATGATAACCCGATAGGCCGACCAAAAGCAGGGCTTGACCTGTTTCACCTGATCCTTGTAGAGAGCTTGCAAGTATAAAATAAGGTTCTTCCCAGCAATGCAACTGACGGCGTTATTGAGCAGCCATCCCAAGCATTTGTCAATGTTCGTGTTCTGGATAGCTTTTTCAGCAAATCTGCAAGATATTATGAATTTTTCAGAAAACGCATTATAATACAGCATAATTATGTAATATTAATATTATACACACCTGCGTAGCGGAGGGTCGTTGATGTATCCAAAAGTTACGTTAAATAAGGAAGGATTTATAATCGGTATAAGGCCTAACTCGTCCAGTTCGCGGTACGTCTCGAATCTCATGTAGACATTCGTGTCGAAATTTAGGCTGGTAAGGTGAGCGAGGATGGACGACGAGTAGAACAAAGCCACCAGCAGGACACATCCGCAGACTATCCGCTGGCGAGTGATCGATACTTCAATCTTAAAACTCTTGTCATTTTATCCCGATTGATATTTTTAGCTAAAATTTGATCAAAAACTTGATTGTACCTAATAGTTGTATTATTATAATGTTTAAAATACCAATTTCGAACTTTTGTCACACAGTATTTCAGTTCGTAGTCGATCATTGGCTAAATCGGATGATAAATGTTTAAAAATTCGCATCTTCGGTTATAATTAATTCACATCCATAAATATTACCTTGCACATGATAATATTCTTTTGAATACAACTTTATTGAAAACTTATTGCACTAAAATTGTAGACAATAGAAACATTTTGAAAAAAAATAATTCCAAAATTGTGAAAAGTTGTAAATTTGATATAACATAAAACTATACATTATATAACAGATGTATGAATGGATAGGATTGCAAAATATCAATTAGTAAGTAATTAAAAACGCCATAATTATTACATAAGTAATATTTATCTTGCAACAAAATTAAATACAAAATTATCATAAAATTAGTAGAAGCCATAAGTTTCCTAAAATTGATCTTTATATTACAACACATTTTTATAATGTAAAAGGATTGCCTTGTCAATATTAACATTTTTTCATAGTTTTTAAAGGAAGTCTTCAATTTCGTTCGTTTCACTATTCCAGTCCATGTCATAAATGACGGGTCTTGTGGGTAATCCAGGCATCGTCATAATATATGAGAGTGACAAAATAACAGTATTGAAAATTTGATAAATGATCTGTCCATCATTGTAATCCAACAGCAAGTACGGTGAAGTTTATTTACTTACCTCTCCAACCATCGCTACGACGAATCCAGCGCCCACCGAGACAAAGACGTCGGTAATATACAATTTAAAACTAGAGCGATTTTATAGAAAATTAACTTAAAATCTATTTTAAACAATATAGACGAATCATAAAAATTAAATCTTGTATCTCGTAAATATTTAATTATAAATCTCAAACTCCAAGAATATAGAAATTGTGATATCGATAATGAGAGTTAGAGCGCCTTTTAACGTGAAAAATAAATGAAAAAATCGTCAAGAGAGCATGAGTGTGATTGATGTAGTCGATTGATGTAGAAAAACAATTAACTATTTTTGTGATTAAAAATAGGCAACCGAGAGTGGCAACTATATTTTAGATTTAATTATTCAAAGTTCCCTTGAAGTATTACATTGTTGTTTACTCTTACTATCAATGATGACAAAGGCTTGAAAAGTTTGAAAATAAACGAAGCACATTGTGAAATATTAATATATTGAGAAATTTACTTAATACTTCTTTTTCACTTATAAATACCCGCACAGTCGTGACGAAACTATGAACTGGAAGAATCATAAAAGAGTGTCGCTCGTTTAATTCGAAAATGCTTCGTTCCAAGGAATTGTTTTCACTTGAAATTAAAAAATATACATTTTCTTTAGAATTAAAATATATAATGCATTTTATTTAGTACATTTACTTTAGCATTTTACTTTTTTTTAAATAGAATCTTATTAATCTTGAAAATAATTTTTACATCTAACGATTCAAAGAAAATTGTTTGTATGTCTCAGTTTTTAAATTGTTTTTGCGATTGAATCTTACACCAAGAAAATGTATATATTTTAATTTCAAGTAAAAACAATTTGATAGGATCATTTAAATTTATCATTGTGTAAAGAAAAATGTGCTTTAGCTAGCTTATTTTTCGTAATTTTGAACAAAAAATTTAAATGAATATTTTTAGGATAAATGTTGTGTATAAACTATTGATAAATTTAAAAGTAAGTATTTAAAAGTAATTTTAATTTATTTGATTCTGAAATACATCCATTGTTACTGGTAGGCAGCAATGAGATTTATAAAATGCATACATGATTGTAACCCATCGCCTTTTAGTGAGCCTTTTATTTTACGTGATGGTAAAAAAATGTATTGTATTTCGGAATGAACCAGTGCGGCTTATTAAATATAAAATTAATCTGGATTGCATTTGGCAAAACACATGAATAACGAATTGAACGCCAAATTCGGCCACTGGGTCTGAAGACAACGACCTGTCTTCGGATCGTAAATGTAATTTTGGCCAGTACCGTCGGCTGCAGCAATCAAATTGGACGGAGGGTTGCAGTTGGCTGGTATACGAGTGTCTATAAGTAAGAGTCATTCACAAAAATATCAATACATATGTTCTGTGATTGTATTTATATCAAGTTAAGGGTTAGAATATGAGATATTATTTTTAATTACCACCAATTATTTGTGCTTGCGAATTATGCTGCATGAAGATTGTGTAAACTATGCAGATTGAAAATAGTATCTTGAACATTTTCAGAGGTCTGTAATCTATGAAGAACTTAGTACGCAATGATTCAGACGGTGAAATTCACTTCATTTTATACCTAAGTGTTAATAGTTTTTTGACTCAAGTATTTTAATATGGAAAAATTTCAAAAACAATAATAATTTTATGTACTTCGACGTTAAACATGTAAATAAAACTAGCGTCATTCCTCGATTTGACTTAACGAAATATCATATCTCCTTCTCGTCTTAAATATAGTATAGCGTATTTGTGGTTTTTACTTTCAATAATAACATATAGAATATAGATCGTTGAGTATGTGAATATAGTCAGTACACGTTACAACTCTGCCACGTGAGCGGATGAAAATATTTCATCCTGAGAACGAAAATGTTCATTTTTTCATTTTTCGAAAATTGAATTATAAATTTTTACATTGGTTTAGTGGTTTTTGTAATAAATGAGTAGTGACGTTAAAAAAAAGAGTAGCAAAAATGATTTTTTTATTAACATTTTTATTAACACTTTACTTCATAGAAGTCATTTTTTTAAAGAAAGTGGTTGGAAAGATCTATTAAAATTTCCTAAAGTACTTCTAAACCCATGATCACCTCTAATCATGTTTATATCTTGAGTTATTTACCGCAACAGTTCGAAGTAAACTCTCAAAGTCGTTTTTTCGCACAATTTTTTACTTTTTTTTTTGTTAAAACAATCATGACTTTTTATCGAATCATTGAATTTTCAATTCGAACCCGGATTGTGAAAGAGCATTAAATTTTACATAAAATTATGTACATACGAAGTCTTTTCAAGGTCCAGGACATGAAAAAAAATCGCATAGATCGCGAACGAAAAATTTCGTCACTTTGGACGTTAATGGGTTAATTGACAGATGAACTTTGACATTTTTTTTCATAGAAGTCATTTTGTTAAAAAAAGTGGTTGGAAAGATTTATTAAAATTTCCTAAAGTACTTCTACACCCATGATCACTTCTGATCATGTCCACAATCATTGAATATCCATGGGCAATAATCATTGAATATCCGTACATATTTACAATTATCAATCGCCATTTCTTCTAACATTTATCTTAAACGAAATCGTGCGACGTTCGTGGAGTGTTTTTTTATCTGATCAAATGCGCTTTTGGTCCAAATTTATTCTCGTACCTGTCTCATGCGAAATCTTCTAGACCTTAGTGTAGTGTCCGTCCTTTAGTGCATTATAAAATCTGATTTCCGTCTAAATTTCTTCTCGCATTTATTAAGTGCCTAATGTTTGCGACTATCATGGGCTGTCTTTTGGTGCAATAACAAAGTACATTTTTGCCCAAATTTCTTTTCGCAATAATCACATGCGAAATCTTTAAGACCTTCGTGAACTGTTTTTTGGTGGGTGAGCAAATGAAATTTCTGTCCAAATTTTTTCTTGCACTTGTCGCATGGGTAATCTCTCATACCTTCGTGAACTACCCTTTGATGGGAGAGCAAATTGTGTTTATACAAAAATTTCTTTTCACATTTGTTGCATGCATAATATCTGCAACCCTCGTGGACTGTTTTTTGGTGTTGAAGCAAGTGCGATTTTCCTCCGAATTTTTTTTCACACTTGTCGCATACGTAATCTTTGCGGCCCTCGTGTGTCATTTTTTGGTGTAAAAGCACATCGAATTTTCGTGGAAATTTTTTTTCGCATTTGTCATATGCGTTATCTTTGCGACATTCGTGAGCTGTCATTTGATGGTAGAGCAAACCCGGTTTTTGCGTAAATTTCTTCTCACATTTGTCACAGGCATAATCTTTGCGACCTGAATGGACTGTTTTTTGGTGTCTTATCAAATTACTTTGATTTCCGAATTTCTTCTTACACTTGTCACATGAATAATCTCTGCGACCTTCATGGACTGTTCTTTGATGTTTGAGCAAATCTAAATTTCGTCCAAATTTCTTGTCACACTGATCGCATGTGTAATCTTTGTAAACCTCGTGTACTATCTTTCGATGTAAGAGCAAATCCGATTTTCGTACAAATTTTGTCTCGCATTTGTCGCATGCGAAATCTTTGCGACCTTCGTGGACTGTCTTGAAGTGTCTGAGCAAAGCCTGTTTTTGCCCAAATTTCTTCTCGCATTTGTCACCTGCGTAATCTTTACAACCTTCGTGAACTATCTTTTGGTGAACGATCAAATGCGGTTTACATCCGAATTTTTTCTCGCACTTTTCGCACATAAAATATTTCCGATCTTCGTGTACTTCAAACTTCTTCGCACACTTGCTATCTGCAAAATCTTTTTGACCTCCATGTTCTGTCTTTATGTGTATGAGCAAACGATATTTAGTATCAAATCTCTTGGCACACTTTTCACACAAGTAATTTTTGAAAACTTCGTGAAATATTTTGTTGTGCTTGAGCAAAACTGATTTAGTTTCAAATTTCCTCTCGCACTTGTGGCACATTAAATCTTCACGATCTTTGTGTACTAATTTTTGGTGCGTTAACAAATTCGATTTTTTCACAAATTTCTTCTCGCACTTTTCGCATGGAAAATCGTTGCGGCTTTTGTGTACCGATATTTGGTGTCTACTCAAATGGCTTCGGAACTCAAATTTCTTTTCGCACTTGTTGCATGTGTAATTATTCTCTTCATTGTGAATTGTGTCTAGATGTTCCATCATGCTGGATTTTAGGGTAAATGTCCCCTGACACATATCATCAATGTTTTGTTTGTCGTCAGAAACAACTATGTTCAATTGAGTTATCTCTTGAGGCTACTTCATTCGATTTCTTCTCACTTTTAGCCATTCTGGTACTTAAATTAAACGATTGATCAGTCTATTAAGTGTCACGGAAATTGAATGAGTAAAATTTATTTCCTGGGATTATGGGTTGTATCATCGGAAATAATAACATTCTAACTAATTTGTTTTTATAAACACGATCAGTGTGTTAAGGGACTGTTTCAACTATTGTTTTCAATTAAGTTACCGATGTATCTGTTTTCACATTATTCTTACAATATTTGAAACAATTTAAAATTCTAACTTGGTTACGATTTCTTTAAGGAATTTTTTTTATTGAAAAAACTAAGTACTCTAAAAAAACTCCCAACTGACAACATCGTGTTCACACCAAAAACAGAGTAAATAGATCCTCATACACATGTATGATGAAAAATGTAAATATTCAATCATACCACATCTTTAATAATTTTCAATGTTATTTATACTACTTTTCATACTATTTTTTCCTAATCAAATTTCAAATTTTTTGAATTCCGCGCCCGGTGGTTAGGCTGCAGATGCGCTCTGCGAGATGCGCGCACTGCTCATTTTTACGATTTTATTTTATTTTTATTTGCTCTTTTCCATTATTGGCATTATAATGTCTTATTTGATTAGCTTTCATGCGCAACATTACCCGCAAGTAAAAGACAATTTAATAAACTTTTGATCTTTTTTCTTATACCTTTACAAATGCGGAGAAAAACTCTCAAACGAATCTGGCGAAGCGAAAAATTTACAATTATTCAATCGCATATGTAATTCACGAAAGAGGAGAATCACGCATTAGTAAACGATGATCATTCGAGGCGGACTCGTAATAATAAAAAATAAAATTATTTTCGCTAGTTTGACAAGTCTTCAATCACACGCTCAGTATGAGTGCGAGAGCTTATCAATCGTGGAATGTATAATTATAGAACTTGTCGAGCATCAAGTCACAAGATCGTCATCAGCTGCTCGCTCGTGGCTTATTATACGATTTTCTCTGTATATCAAGTATTCTCATAGATCTGGCGCCGCACGTACAGTGTCATACAATAGGCTCAGCCGTGTATAATATTTACCATAATATAAATACACGCACATATAAACGTTGTGAGTTACACAAATTTATCGAGTCACAGGGCGCGCGGCGCTGCTTTTATGTATTATACGCATATCGGTACCAGCGAGAGGCACTGATAAAATTGTCTTGCCGTGTGTCTGCTTCTGTGTATCATAAGCCGCGAGCTGAGCTGTTTTTGCGCGAGAATCGTCCGTCGTCGACAATTGCACTCCGCGATAAAGGCGATACGTATATATATTATTTATTTATAAATACAAATAACAACGCAGTCTTGATTCGACGAATTGTTGAAACTTTGTTAAACGGCCCAGCGCCCATACTATAATTATCGCGGCGACGAATTCATAATCCAATGGCCGTTCAAAACGATTGATAGCTAAGAAGTATAGTTATTTTCATTATTAGCAGCAAATGCATTTTATATATTGCATTGTAAGCTGACGTAACGATCGTCGCCTTTTGCACTGTAGTCTCTGCCGCGGACCAAACGATTGTTGTGTCTGCGTGTGTGTTCAGCAGTGTGCGATATACCTATATTTATCACGAAGTCATAAAACCCGCAGAGAGGAGCACATCTTCGTTTTCTTGGTTAGTGCGACGAGACGTTCGCAAATTTTTCGCACTCCTGCACAATTCGTGGAACCACTGCATAGTTTTTGAACTGTCGATTATGATGATAATTTTTTTGTTCATAGCAAGTCGTTCAAAGTGAGTGAACAGTCTTCATCATGAATCCAGTGAGTGTTGATAAAGAATTGCTGCAACAGGTGTTGCAGCTAATTCGGAAGCCTGGTTTTGATATTAAGTCTTTGACTTATCTGGACTTATTGGCCAAACATGTAAATACGGAGTTGAAAACGGGTTGGTACTAAAAAAATATTTTTCAAAGTGAATCACGTAATTACTTATACTCTGTTCATTTCTTATAAGGTGATAAAGCCATCCAAGAAATACTTACAGAATGGTTTGAAGAAGCCATGAATACTTGGACCAGTGACAATAAACCATCAGCGAATATTTCAATTTTTATTGTAAATTTGTTGGGAATTTTGTGCTCAGAAGAAGTTATACTTCTTAGATTTAACAAGCATAAGACTATTGATAAAGCTCTTATAATTTTTAATTATAAAAATGTTAATATGTCAGCTTCAATGAAAATGGCATACCTTCACTTTTTTGTAAGTTTGTTGAATCATGAAAGTGGTATGCAATGGATCTACACAGAAAAGATTTGGAAACAAGTTTTGATGATAGCACAATCAAATCATACAATCTATGTTACAAATGAATGTCAACATTTTTTATCAACGATACTCATTAATAGGTGCAGTGATAAACCTTTCTGCAAGGAAATAATTATCACTATGAGTGAACCATTCATTGAAGCAACTACAGCAGCAATGAGTAATACAGACATAACTTTTGGTAAATTTATTAATAAATTAACTATACTGTACAATTAGAATCATTCCATTAAATTCAATTAATAATTTAACAGGTGATCACATGTGTTTGGATAAAAATAAATTACTAATAACAACTATGAATCTACTTATTGCTGTTATGGAACATTCTGCATTTTATGATCTAGAAAATACCATTCCGGAACAATTGGAAGAAATTTTGGATTTAGAAAAACGGGCTAGAGGTTTATTGCAGGCTTGTATTAGTACATCATTAATGAAAACTGCTCACAAATTGTGCAAAATTATAATTTTTGCAAAGCTTAGAAATGCTATGAAAAAACCAGAGAATTCAGAGGAAGTAAGCGAAGAAGTCCTTCAAGAGTTTAGTGATAGTTTGTGTTCTAATTCTACTTTATTATTAAATAAGAAATTTTTAATAGAATTAATTAATTCTAAAAAAATGGGAATTATATATTGGAATCGGTTGTATAAGATAAAAAAGATTAAAGGAGCTACACCGTACAAATTTGAAGATCAAGCTATGACTTTGTTGGTACGTAATTTTATGAATTAATAAATAAATTAGTTAAATGATGTATTCTCAAATTATTTTTTGTTTCAGATACTACCATTATGTGTAGCCACAAAACCTGAATATAAGTTAGCTCATTCTTTATTTGTCGATTACATAAATAAAATATTTCATGTGACCTGCACATCAGTGCAAAGGTTGGGATATAACATACGTGAAGTACTAATGAAAGAACCAGTACCAGTGGAAAAAATTTGCATAACATCTATTGAAAATGCCCTGGAAGTTATTGATATTATAGATAGAGTAAGTATCTGTCTAGTTGTGATTTTTTAAATGATAAAAATTTTTATAATGATACTTTTCTTAGGAAACAGCTGTTTTGGCATTTCAAGCCATATGTCATACCCTGAAAAATTTTATCATGGAGTCAAAAACAAAAGGGGAAGATGGAAAAAATGATGAAACTGAAAAAATATGCTGCAAAGATCATCCTGAAGATTGTCCTTTATTTGACTTTTTACCCAAAAAAGTTAAAAAGGGAGTTGTTCCAATGAAACATTTTTTAGATGGCGATCCTATTGTAGAAAAACCTCTATTACTTGCAGCTTTATTAAAAGGAATGAATACATTTATTGAGAAATTTAAACTCAACTGGAAAGAGTGTGTTGAAACTGTCTGTATTTTATCTATTGCTTTAGATATTCTTGATTATCCTGGTGTTGATTCAAGGGTAAATTATTGAAAATAGTTACTACTGATATTATTACAAATGATAATAGGAGCAATGATAAGTTTATTTAATCTTTTTCAGGTTTGTGTTTTAGCATTGAAAACTTGTCAGATAGCTATAGAAAATTTCATGTCACCAAATTTAGTTTTACTGGTTGATAGTGATGATGAAACAAAACAACTTGGACCCACTTTGTTCAAGAGGATCCATGATACTCGTTGGGAAGTGCAAGATAGCGCTTTTGAATTACTAGGAACTATTGCAAAACTTTCAGAAATGAGTTAGTGGTTTTATTATACAATTTTATATTCATTGTGATTAAAATACTTTATTTTTCTGCAGAATATCCTCCTTTTCAACGATTCATACACGAAAATAATTTTATACCAGTTGCCATAGAAGTGATAAAGAGTGAAACGGAGAGTTATACACGTGCTGCAGCATTATCTTTTTTATCAAAATCCATTGGAGTGACTTATTTATGGACGAGGCAACTTGAAAAACTAGATTTACCGGTACTTAATTTTCGAATATTCTTTTAAGAATTCATGAATTTTAATTAATTAATCAAATAATTTAGGAATTGGCAATAAAGTTGATTACTACAGAGAAAGAAGGAATAGTCAGACGCGAGGCTGTTAGTCTTCTAACGAATTTGTACAAACATAAAATTTGGCCGTGAGTGTGATTATTTTCTTAACTTATTAATTAATTATAGATTATAATACTTTATTCAAAACATTGTTATAATGTAGAAATGAAATGGTTACGCGTATGGCCCAAACAATGGCAATAGCAGCAGTAAATGATCTGCATTGGGAAGTGAAACTTAATGCCTTACTATTCTGGCGACTTTTTATTAAAAATTGTTTGACAGATCAAGGTATGCTGGATGACTGCTTTCCTCCAAACTTATTTTGTAAAGAAGTCCGTAAAATCATCATTCTCAACGAAGATGAGATTAAACGCCGGCTTACCAAAACACTAGATTTGTTGGCAAGTCATTGTTGTTTAGGGGTACTAATTTTGATTTACTTCATAATATTTTCTTTGAAGATATGATATCATTTTTTAATTAAAAATATTATATAGGTACTCTTAACAACATTACACGATCAGAGTGACTTTGAAGTTACAAAGTTAGCAGCCATGGTAATAATAGAATTGCGTACCATTTTAACAAGATACAAAATCGATGCACCTATTGAAACAAAATCAGAGGAAATTATTCCAATAATTGAAAAACTTGAAGTGAAATCTAACACCAGAGAAAGGCTAGATGAGCGTGAAATGGACGCCGTTATTGATGATATTATTTTAACTTCAGATACCAATCTGTTGCCAACATTAAGCAGTCAACCAGACGAGCAGGATATTGCTGAAATTGAAAAAAATAATAAAAAAGTTTTAGCAGAACTTGCTCTTATTGATAGAAAACAATTTCTTCGGGAGATAATGCCATTTGACTTTGATTCTTATATTAAGAAAAAATCTGAATGGCTCAAAACTTATACTTCTAGTTTCAACTCAGTACTTGAGGATATAATTACTTTGAGTGATAACGACGATATGAACGTGATGGATTGTTATTGAAAAAAAAAAATAAAGTGATTTTATTACTTTTGTACCATAGTTAGATTACTGTGATAAATACTAAATGTAGCTGTTTTGGGGATTATACTGTTCTTGTGGATTGGTAAAAAATAAGTTTTTCACAATGCAAATTTAGTAAATGAAAAATTTCTTTAAAATATACCAAGTATTTAATCTTATTAGGGTTCAGTTGCCATTAAAAAATGAGGAAGTTTTTTCAACATATTTAGGTTTAAATTTTAGCAGGTGATGAAGCTTTAACAAACAATAAACAACCAATTTTCATAAAAAAATGTTTAATTATATTTTCATTTTTGGTATTTGTACATATACATTTAGTATTTGAATAAACGTTTATTTATACAAGAGTATTTTTATTTTTTTAGTCATTGATTAGAGATAGACAGAAAATGAATAACCTGCTTTGATTTCTAGTGGAAGATTTTAATGTTATAAAATATTTAAAAAAATAATGGCTCAAAGACCTTGCAATGATTAATGATCTATTAACATGGAAAAACTTATTACAAAAGATAATTACTTTGCAGAAGCAAAGAAAATTGATTGAAGATTCGATTTCTATTTTCACAAAAAACCATGTATATATTTCAAAAATATGTTACTGGTACTTTTAACTTAAATAAAATAAAAAATTCTTTTCAAAACCTACTAGAAAAATTCATATAATTTAAAATGTTCATAGAACATTTTTTCTTTTGGATGCCTTTTTCAAGGCACATAATCTTTTATAATCTTCTAGCTCATTGCAAAGAGCTCTGGCTCCCTTGTTGAACTCTTCCATACTTATTTCTCTCATCCAATTCAATTCTTTTTCCCATTTCTCATATATCATATCCTCTGGATCACTCATATTATTTTCTTCCTTATATTTATGTAAATTTAAGGCTTTTTCCTTCGTTGTCACCTGTTTATATTCCTCTTTTTCTTCTTTTATTATTTTTGTGGGTTTAGACACTAACGTGATTAGTTTTTCAGCTTTTACAGGTAAATCTATTACTTCTTCTACTCTTGTTAGTGTTACGGAACAATCTATAGGAGTCTCCAGATTTGCTTTATTTTGCAATTTATCTTGAACCCCCAGGATGCTGCTGGAGAGATAATAAAATTGAGATGGTTTCTTTGAGAAACTATTCCAAATTGAGCGTTTGTTGCTGTTTTCTTTTTCTTCTTTTTCTTTGGCAGGTGGACCAACAATTTTCACAATGTCTTTCCAACCAATCACTGATAAAGAGAGCTCTTCTGTTGAGTGTTGATAGGTCTGATGCCAATGTAGCTCGCTCAAAGAATTTTTATTAACTTGACAAACCACACACTGGTATTTCGATTCATCAACTAATTTGCGTTTTTTCTCTTGAAAACTTGCTGTATTTTCCTACAAATAAGAAAAAAGTTATTAGCCAATTCATTCTCAATTTTCAATTGAAAATTTTTGCAATTTATCAAAGAAATTCTACACGTTTGAGCGCTCAAGTGATACATATCCGCAATTGTCACATAACAGCCGCAAATCATAACCTCGTGCTAAATCACAATCGTTTGTATCCTACGGAGTATCAATAATAGTATCATTCAGTATCATTCCGATAAGGCAGAAAACCCCCAAGCGCCTCCAACCAAACGACGTGTTTATAATTCGGAATTTCGATTTGAAGTTCGGTAATTTAACATCGTTTGCTATAAACGCCAATGCTCGTTTTGTCTACAAAGATTCACGCCGGCTGCGATTCGTAAAAAAATTATGAAACGAAGGCGAAATTTCGGTGACATTAAAATTTTCGAAGACTCACCACCGTCTTAAGATTTAGCACGCGTTGTTGAGATGTAGAAGACGATTCGGCGCTGCTGACTTCAGCCTCGGCAGGCATTGCGCACTGAGGTTGTTTCGGTTCATTAAAAAAATATCAAAAAAAGTAACTCGTGAATTCGCGATATATAATCTCTCGTCGATTGCACTTGCACTTGCAGCGCGACAAAATATGCTGCGTATTCTCTACATTGAATGCGTTTATTTTAAATCCCTTTGATGCTACGAAGGACTGCGATAAATTATCGATACTTGAATTTAAGAGGCACTGCGTAATTTGGACAAGCTCAAAACCGTAACACTTGTGTTTTTATTTTGGTACAATACACGCAGGATGGGACTATGGGAGGACGACTCCGCGCACGCGGATGGGTCGGTCGAATGTCGTCGGAGTTTCGAAACAACAACGGTCATTGTGCGCGAGTCGAGGTTATGTGCTAAATGCATAAAAAAGATTTTTCCGATAAAATTGCGCGCGCGAATATTTTTCGAGCTCTGGGGGAGTCAGGAGAGCCTCGAGTGGCCACCACCGCAGCCGGCCTGCGGGGCGCGGGCCGCTTCGTTACAGTGCACGAGTTTACACCTGCATAGTACTATACATGTGTGTCTGTGTACACGTGCCGAGACCTGCGGCAGCCGCGAGAGCTGTCACTTTTTTACCGCGAAAAAGTCGCACATTTTGCGTATTTCTGGGCGCGTAATGTATAGCTCAAATGCTTGTTTACAAAATACCCGACCTTTACGAATATTTTTTTTCAAACGCTCACGCGAAGGTCGTTATTTTTTCCCTCCTACAGAAAACCTCGTTGATTCTTAGTAAAAAGTTATTGATATTCGGATAGAAAACGCAATTGGAAATTTTTGTATTCTTGCCCCGAACTTCAGAGACCCGTTTATAAAATAAAAATGTAATCAAACTTGTACATACTTAGAAAGTGACTGCACTACAGAGTTCACAAAACTGGCACAAAATATTGGTTGACTGACCTTCACGAATCACGGTTCATGACCATGTGGCTCGCGCAGGCTGCTGAGTGCGGGCACGTGTCTTAGTCGCATGCGCGTGTCGGTCATTTCTGGAACTTTTGTGAACACTGAACACTACAGATGGAATTTCAAATTTTGAGGATTACAAGGAAGTAAAGACCTTCTCGAGCTCAGATCATCCGGAAGCATAATCGAAAAAAATAACGAATGATTTCATTCGAAATGCACGAAAAGCTCGATGGTCGTCACGCGTAATTGGCATTGGTTTATAACTTTTATTATGCATATTATATTCTAATACATTCGATAATGCATGACGTCGAATAAACAGCATCGAACATCATCCGTTTGCTATGTCACCTTGGAAGCTGCCGCATATCTTGAGTTGCTACACCTGCCACGTTCGTCTATACTGTTTAGTGCCCGCTTTATCTGACAACTATTATGCCAGCGACTGCATATAATACGTGACACACTCTCCTCCTGTATATCTCAATTTCGCTCGTTAATTTGTTTTTTTGCTCTCGTTTTTCAATTAAACAAAAGATATCGTCGAGTCAATCGGATTCGTTGGAAAAAATCCTCGTGCTCTTATTTATTTATTTTTTTGCTTACTTTCGCATGAAAAAATTGCGACAATGTTACTTTACAAAGTATTCAAGAAAATGACCAATTTTATAACTTCATTTTTTTACTTTTTAATACCTTGATTTTTAACATCAAATTGCATAAAGTAAATTTCATTCGCTCTTAAACTCGGTCAAAAGTGTGTTCCTAACACCAACTTACACCTAGTATTAAGTTAATTTTAGTAGATTGTATGCTACCAAGTAAACTTTGGTAGTACTTATAATTCAATTTAAATAGTACACTTTTTCTTATTATAACTCACAAGTGTGAATTATATTATAAGAAAATGACTCGTTACACCTCTTCATTTCAAGTAGTTCCATTCAAGGATTCTAAATGTACAATGTATGAATATCGATTTGCTTTATTGCATTGAATACACTTTTTCATTTGATTGTAAGCACCCACTGCGTCAATAGTACAAAATTGACAAAAATGGAATTTTTAGAAAGCGAATACAACAAAATCGGTAAATATTGTTTAAAGTCCTACAGACTTTGGCCGAATCAAAGTAGAGTTGAAAACTTTCTGGGATTTGTCAAATTCAATATGGTGTTATTGCCATTCATTGCCATTCCTGTGGTATGGATCAATTATATTAAATAATCTATATGTGTGCCAGTTTTAATAATTGTTCCAAAAATCTTTTTAAAGCTTTTGTATGGATTTTTTCATTCTGATGATCAACTCATGGTCATGGAAACTTTGTGGTACGGACTATTTTACACTTTTACTTACGTAAGGTACATCTTGTGTTTAATAAATCTACCGAAGGTAGGGGATAAGAAATGAAGTATAAAAATGTCACTAAAATATGTATTACAAGAAGTTTTCTTAATTAAACAAAAACAAATCATATTTTGTTATAAGATGAAAGTATTGTTAAGCGAAGTATATCAAGTGCGACACACAATAGTTGACAGTGACGAGTGTAGGGAGATGATGAAGTAAGGTGAAAAAACAAATTTTCTCGGCACTTGGGACTCAGGTACGCGCGTTCAGGTCCAATTAGTAATTAGTTGATATGTACAATACGAATCATCGGAATTAATTGATCGACTGCTATTCATACAGTTTACATAGGATCAGCTTATATATTTCATAGCATCATCCCTTTCCTGCCTCCTCTCATGGATATCATAGTACCTCTCTCGAACGGTACGAGAGAGAGAGATTATTGCCTTACCATGATTATTTCGTTTGGTTCTCTCGAGAGGATCATCACTACGAGATTGGTTGTTTATTTTTGTTTTTGTGCATACTGCTTTCGACTCTTCATCCTGGCATCGAAATTCTCTACGTAACATCGATGGAGCAGATACATGGTCTTTTCAAGATCGTATGGTAAGGATTTGAAAATTTCAAAAATATCTTGATGAAATGTTTATTGTGCAGCGATAGGTTCGACAATGCAGACATCGATGGAGATACGGATTATTGCAATGGTAGAGAATCAGACACATATTCAAAACTATCCAGTGCGTAAAATTGTTTAATGATAGCATAAGGTTTTGACATTTAATTTTTTTTATATACTTACTTCAAACGAAGTATACAAATATTACCTTTTTTAGACTTTTGGAAGATGCTTTCTATATGAGTAATATAATCGTTGCTTTTTGTTTGCGTCTTGCTTTAGCCGTCTCATATTTATATGTACAATTTTATTTATTAAAATAATTATCAGTCAATAGCTTTTATATTGCTTGTAAAGTCTAGATATATTTGGAAAAAAATACGATTAATAGAATGCACTTTGTCACTTATTCCCTGGGTGTACTCTTAATTTTGTGGTATTGTAATTTGATTGGACAACAAATTACGGAAGGCAGTTCCGAAATACATTTCAAAATATAAGATTGAATCATATTAACTTTTTACGAATTTAATTTTTTTCCCCTCAAGTGAACGCTGATCTTTATTATTATAGATACAGCAGCAAATGGTATGCATTTTCACGAAAATCTCAGCTATTGATATTAATAGCATCCAGTAGATCGCTTAGCCCGTGTTTTTTAACTTCTGGAAAATTAAACCCCCTCTGCATGGAAACTTTTGGAAAAGTGAGCTATGCAATCAGTTGAACCAATTTTTGGCTATAATTGGAAAATTCAATCATACGTTGTTTTCAGACTTTGAAGGCTTCTTTATCGTTAATATCTGTATTTTCAGCCATAATTTAAGAGCCGATAAGTTTCAAGAGAATATATAAATCATAAAAATGACCTGTTTTCGTTGCACCGGTAGCCATTTAAAAATAAAATAGTTAATAATCAATCTATGAATTTTAATCAAACTTAATATTATCAAGCTTGTACTCTTCTCCTGTTAAAGCAGCACTTTTGGTACTCACTCATTAGAAATTAGCCGCAAAAAAGAAAGCTCTGCAGAGCTTCGATTCTGTATCGCGACTCGAGGAAATAACAAACCATTAGTATCTCATTGCGATTTTTATAAATGATACATCAATCAGTAGCACTTCTTTTCAGGGCCGAACATTTTGCCCGCGCATCGTGAAAATCGAGAGCAGCTTTTTTTCATGCCGTATACAAAGTACAAAAAGCTTCTTTTAGAGCATGCGGCAGCGGTGGCATGGCATCGAGAGCTAACGCGCAGACGCGAAAAAGCAATAGAGAATAAAGAGCACAGAGCAGTCTTTCTCTCTCTCTCTCTTTGCGCTAAAGTAGTAGTATATTTTGCAAAAAGCTTTCCCCACTGTCTGCTCCGTCTCTCTGGTTATAAGCATGAAACGGTTGGTGCGGCACGATATGTAGTACTAATACCTATACACACAGTACTGTACGTATACAGTCGAGCCGCCGCCGTCGCCGTCGCCGCCACCGCCGTGGCAGCTCTAAGCGAAAGTGTTTGCGCTGTGTACAGGAGTTTAGTTTTAGTTCGAGCGCCGCGCAAGTAAGAATATTTATCTAAACCTAAGGCTTTGGCATTGCGAGTGCGAAAACGTCGTTTGTTCTTTTGAGTGTATACGCGTATACTCGGTCGCGAAGATTCGACTCGAAATTGTAGTGCTGCGCGGATAATATAGTACGACGTCGGTGCATATAAGTCGCGCAGTGTGCTTGCATTGTGTCGAGTGTAACGATAATTCAATTTCTGCAATTTCTTCTTCTTTTATTTTGCTTTTTGACTCTCGTTTCGCACTTGAGCAGCTCGAAAATAAATCCTACATTATTAACTATACAATGCACTCGCTCGAGTGTATCTTAAAGCTCTCCCGAATGTAGGCCCGGCGCGAGCGAGTCAAAAGCTGAAAGAGAGAGATTCCGGGCCGAGAAATGTGCGCTTCTAAACTTATACACGCGCTACTCGCTCGGATCCGCTAATGCACCGCAAAGTCGGCGAATTCGGCCGTGCGCCGCACACACACGCGAATTTCGGCCCGATAATATAATATATCGCTCGCGTTAATAATTGTAATACTTGAAATTACCTAATAATATAAACGAGCCGTAATTTTTCTAATTCGCATCGGTGCTCATCGCGACACACATTTTTTTTCTTTGAATCATCGTCGTCGGGTCTCTTATCTTCTTTTTTCCTTCCTCTCTCTCTCACTCACTCGCGGGGTCTGTCTTGTATTATTTGTTTAATGCCGCACGCGCGACTCGCGAGTTCGGCATTCCACGGCGTGCCGGCATAATTCATAATACATTATATATACTTTGAATCGAACGATCGGTATGTGAGCGCGATACAAAGACGATCGCTCATCCAGTACGCCACATACGCGATTGAAAGAGCTTTGAGGAAAAAAGGCCGAAGATTCGAGAATAGCGCGCGGCAGCTGCTGCGAGCTGTATATATTATAATTGCTAAAAACTCGCAGTGTATTGTA